GGGGGGCTGAAGTTTGTGTGTGTTTAAGTTTGAGGGGCTCCTTGGAATAAGGCCCTGGTAATACTTTCTTGCTGTGTGTAGGCATGGAAAGATGCAGGGCTCCCACTCTCCACCACAAGCAACGAAGCCTGCAAGCTGTTTGATGCCACCCTGACCCAGGTATGCTTGCGAAGAGAAGTGGTGTCCCCTTCTGTAAAGGTCTACGGGGAGGGTTTTTAACTTGGTGAGTACTTTTTAAATTGCACTGTTTCTTTAGCAATAGAAGGTAATAAAATCTATGTACTCTGTACTGGAGCATATGAGAGCATGTGGAAACATCTCTGCCGGCCCATGGCGTGGCTGAGGGGCTCTGCACTCACCTTCTTGAGGTTCCTGAGTAGTAGGAGGACAGCAGTGGACTCGCTTGGGGATGGCTTTGTGAGGGTGCTGAGCCTCCCACTGTGGGCGTCCCACTGTGGTCTGCTGTGGGTTAGATGTGAGGCTCTGCCTCTTAGGTTGTGGGATCCTGTCCTGAGACCAGTCTGTGAACATATTGCTCTCATCTAGGGCTGTGTCAAGACCTTCTGCCCCATTACCTATCATTTCTACATCAATGAAGGATTCTACAGTTCCAGAACAAGTTTGTTTGACAGATAGGGAAACTGAGGCCCAGAGTGTTGAACCTACTTGAGTTTAAAGTTGTACCATGAGTTAGAGACGGAACCAGAAAGTGCCTTGGTTTAAATACACTGATGGAGAAAGCTAAAGCTAGCCTTTTTCGAGAGTGGTGAGACTGCTATATATAACACAAGGACCAAGGAAGCTCCTAGAAGCATACAGATTGAACAAGAAAAGACTAATGACATGCCATTAGCTATGCCATGGTTATGTCTCCTGTTCTGTCTGTCTTTGCCGAGGGACTCCACTGTGTGTGCTTGAGCTATTTGTCTATTTTGTGTTTACCGTCGGCCCCCTGGCCCTTCCTGTACCTCATTGGCTTCTAATAGAACACTCTAATTGTTACACCTCACATTCCCCAATTCAGTGGCTGCTCATCCTCCTAGCCTGTGCATATTCTGTCCTGTGTATTGGTATCTCTGTGCCACCCTGTATCAGAGTTTGGGTTCTTTGAATCTCTGTGCCAACTCCCCTGTAACTTGTTTAAATGTATTTGCTAATTCTGTGTAGATTAGGGTAGATGATGGAAAGGGCATACTTAAAAATCCAGTGTATTATTATGGGTTTAGAATTTTTTAAAAGAGGCATTTCAAAAAAGGGCTAGAAACAAATACACCAGGTTGCCAAAAATGGTGATAAGATGATATTAGTGTCCGTTTTTATCTTTCGCCTTTTGAGAGAATCTTTCTAACTCTCTATAATGAATGTTTGCTGTGATTATTATTCTTTATTAGAGACAAGGTCTCATGCTACTGCCCAGGCTGAAGTGCAATGGGACGATCATGGCTCAATGCAGCCTTGATCTCCTGAGCTTCAAGCGATCCTCTTACCTCATCCTCCTGAGTAGCTGGCACCACACCAGCTAATTTTCACTTTTTTTAAGAGAGGGAGTCTTGCTGTATTGCCTGGGCTGGTTTCAAACTCCTGGCCTCAAGCAGTCCTTCCCTCTGTAATTCCAAAGCGCTGAAATTGCAGGCATGAGCCACCATGCCGAGCTACTGTGGTTATTTTTTAAAGGAATGATAAGAAGCAGTAATGTTCCTATTGTGGTGACCAATTCCAAGACCCCTCGTAGAGCTGAAGAGGCTGATGTTGTACAGCAGGTCACCTTCCTTTTGATGTTTCTTTTTTGGAAACGGCAGCATCACCAGCCCTAGAAAGTGTGCCTCGAGTTACATGTGTTTAATTTCTTCATATGCGATCAACTGAGTTATGTTTTCTTTGGGTTAGAGTTCGGAAAACAATGTTTTAGAAATTTAAAAAATCTGGATTTAGGTACATGCCTTCATTAATATCATCCAAGGACTCCATGGAGATAACTTTCTTTTATTTCAGTATGTGAAATGGACCAATGACAAGAGTCTCGGTGGCATTGAGGGCTGCCTTTCAGAGCTCAAGGTAGCAGATCCAACCTTTGGTGAGCAATGCTTTTCCTGGGTTGAGGAGCCCAGTTTCACAGATCCAGCCCCTCTCATTCCCTGACCCCAGGGACTCAGTTGGGTTGGGGAAGGCAGGTTGAGTGGCAGCCACAGTACTGCCATTTGCACAGAGGAAGGGACGATGACAGCCACTCTTGTGTTTGGAATAACAGCTGCTTCCATAAAGATGCCAGGTTCCAGCCGGGCTCGGTGGCTCAGCCTGTAATCCCGCGCCTTTGGGAGGCTGAGGTGAGTGGATTGCCTGAGTCCGCTGGTTCAAGACCCGCCTGAGCAGCGAGACCTCATCTCTACAGTAAATCAAAAAATCAGCCGGGCATGGTAGCACACACCTGTAGTTCCGGCTACTTGGAAGGCTGAGGCGGAAGGATCGCCGGAGCCCAGCAGGTTGAGGCTGCAGTGACCGGGAGTGGCCAGTGCACTCCAGTCTGGGCGACAGAGTGAGACTCCAACTCAAAAAGAAAAAAACAAACAAAAAAACAAAGCCAGGTTCCACTAGAAGGCATTTTTCAAATTTATTTTCTAGTGGCCATCCATTTTTGCAAGGAAGACACTGATCCTATTTCTCAGATGAGGAAACCAAGGGTCAGCAAGAGTAAGACACGAACCCGAAGCCACTCAGGTGGTTGAAGGGCTAGGGTTAGACAAAGCTGCCTGAATCCAAAACTCAGACCCCCTAGAACATGAGAGATGGCTACTGCAGCCTTGGCCAGGGTACAAGTGAGGCCTCACCCAGAGTGATTGGGGCAGGGTGGGGACCAGTTGGTGGCAGAGGCTGGCATCAAGGCAAGTAGTGTGTGTGATGGACATGGGAAGATCAAAATAGTGTATTTCAGGTGGGTGGCCCCAGTATTCAGCAAGGTTCTGGGTCTAGGAGAAGGACCAATGAGGGACACCCTTCCCACCCTGCTATAGCCTGATCAGACTAAAGGCAGGAGGTTTATACTACCCTGGCAAGAAAAGGGCAAGGAAAGAGCTGGGGAAGAATGGGGAAAGCTGAACCCAGCAGAGGGGAACACAGTAGCCAGGGACGGGCTTAGGCCCTCTCAGCAGACCTCGACTCCAGATCAGAAGTGGGAACCACAGGGGTGGTCCCAGCACTGTGACTGGGTTCTAGGACACCTTGCTTCTCCCAAGGTGGGACACCTTACCTCTCCCAAGGTGGGGGCTGGGAAGTCCAGGTAGGGTCTGTGATCTTCTTGGACCAGTCCCCCTAAGCGGCATCCACTGAGTGATTTCTGGGAGGCTGTGTGCAGTTGTGGTGACATCAGCTGATGAGTCTGTGGACAGCCCCTAACCCATTCATCCAGTGAAGGAGGAAGGTGCTTTGGACATTGGCACTCACCAGAATGTCCTTGTTAGACAAATATTTGTGAGTACTCTTAGGCTTGCCACTACATCCACAAGGACCAAGGCTGAGTCCTAGGCTGTGGGCAGGGCCTCAGCACACAGCCTACAGCTGCCAGTCTTGCTTTCCCTGGGGTGTCTGTTTCACATGTGGGGCCTAAACTGAGTTGAACTGGGCCATCTGAATCACCAGCTGTTTTCTAACCTTCTGCCAGCAATGGGCCATGCCATTTCTAACGGCCTCATGCTGATTGGCACTGGAAGCTCTGTGAGGCTGGACAAAGAACTGGACCTGGCTGTGAAGATGATGGTCGAGATTTCAAAAACCCAGCCACTGACACACCGAGAACAGCTGCACGTGTCTGCAGTAGAGACGTTTGCCAAGGGGTGAGAGGCCTCCCTGGGCTGGGGGCTGGCACTCTGAGGCTATGCTGGGTGATATCACAGATGGTCCTGCTGCCCTGGAGAGGGGGATTGCCTGGGAGTGATGAAGTATCATGAGATCCTCTGATTGAAAATCATATCCTAGCTGGGCACGGTGGCACACAACTGTAGTTCCAGCTACTTGGGAGTCTAAGGGAGAAGGATCGCCTGAGCCCAGTAGGTCAAGGCTATGATGGCCATGAATGTGCCATTGTACTCCAGTCTGGGTGGCAGAGTGAGACTCTAACCCAAAAAGAAAAAAAAAAAGAAAGAAAGAAACTCGCATCCTGCCTGCTGCTCTATCCTTAGCTGAGTGCTGAATGAGGAAGTAGTTGACCAGGATCCCCAACGTAGTATTTAAAGTAACTTTCTTTCTTTGTTAAATAATTGTATATTATTTTCATTACAAGAATAATAGGGCCACATTGCAGAAATAACTAGAAGAGAGAAGAAAACATTCACTCATATTCTCCTTGCCCTCGTACTGCCTTCCAGATCAACCCCCTGCTCTCTCTCCACAGAGGTTGCCCTCTTCCTCTGGGTCAGTCCCTGTGTCTGTTCAGGCTGGTGAAATGCCCCACAGAGCTAGGTGACCTGAGCTGATTGTGCAGGCACTTGGGGGGGTCTGAGCCCTGAGACTAAGAAAGTCCTGCCCAGTCTTCTTGGTGAATCAGCCCAGTGTGAAATTCTACCTTGGAGACTTCCTGCAGCTGGCTCATGGTCTCCAATGGGATTGTGTTTAAATCTGTTAAACCGGTTTTTTTGTTTTGTTGTTGTTGTTGTTTTTATTTGAACTAAAGAGTAAAATTTCCCACTGGTTTTTCAATGTTCTGAGTTGTAACCTAACACAGAAATTTTTTAAACCTGTTCAGTTTCAGACCATGACACTGGTGAGAAACTGCCTTTTACACTCTCCCATGTGGGTTCAGTGTTGCTGAGAAATCTCTCTTGGTTTCTAGGAACTTTCCGAAAGCCTGTGAACTATGGGAACAGATTCTCCGGGACCATCCGACAGACATGCTGGCCCTGAAATTTTCCCATGATGCCTACTTTTACCTGGGCTTCCAAGAACAGATGCGAGATTCTGTTGCTCGAATTTATCCCTTCTGGACACCTGACATCCCCCTCAGCAGGTATGTGCTAAGCTAGAAATTATATAATTTCTGTGTCTTAATGTTTCTCTTCTTCCCTAAAAACATGGCAACTTCCTTGGCCCTCTCCTAAAAATAATGAGATTAGTGTTGCTATTCTCCTAGTTCTTTACAGTTCAAAGGCTTATTTTTTTCATGCCACCTGTGGCTCATGGTCTCCATAATAACATTATGCATCAATCAGAACAGGATTGTTTTTGCTGCAGTAACAAATATCCCTTAGGTCTTCTTCTCCAAAGCTTATCACAGCAAAGGCTTATTTCTCACTCATACTACATGTCAATCTTAGGAGGGTGAGGTTTCTGCCACCATGTCCTCCAGGTGATGAAGCAACTGTCCTCTGGACACATCAGTTACTAAGAAGGAAAAATGAGCTCTCCTGAGAAGCTCACAATGGCAATTAAGTGCTCAGAATGAAAGGGATACTCTGCTACTTCCAAGTCGTTGGCAAAATTGATCACATGACTTAACCACCCATAAGAAACCAGGATGTACAGTTACAGTTCTACCATGTACTTGTGAAGAGGAGGTCTGAAATGTGTGTGAACAGCTCCAATGACCATCACATGTGTCACCACATGTGATCAACTCCACTACAGCTTAATCACAGGATAGTTGTGAGGTTCAAACAGGTTAATCAGCTGGAGAGCTGTATGAGTCAGGGCTCTCCAGAGAAACAGAACCAATAGCACATGTATCTGTCTCTGAGAGAGAGATAGATGAAGAGATTTATTTTAAGGAATTAGCTCATGTGATTGTGGGGGGGCTGGCAAGTTCAAAATCTGGAGGGCGGGGAAACAGGCTGGAAATTTCCTGGAGGATTCAATGTTACAGCCTTGTATCGGGAGGCAGACTGCAGCAGAATTTCTTCTTTTTCTGGAGATTTCAATCTTTTCTCTTAAAGCTTTCAGCTGATTAGATGAGGCCCGCCTGTATTATGAAGGGTCTGCTGTACTCAAAATCTACTGATTTAAATATTACACATCTAAAAAATACCTTCATCTAGACAGCAACCTCTAGACAGGTGTTTGACCAAACAACAGGGTACCATGGCCTAGCCAAGTTGACACATAAAATTAGTAGTACAAGAGCCTAATAGTACCTGGCACATAGCAATCATGCAATAAATGTTTAAATGTTGGTTAAATGACCCTGGTAATTAAATTTTTTTTTAAAAAGAGATAAGTCTGGAAGCCACTGCTCTAGAACATTACAAGAATGAATAGCAAAAGCTAGAACTGGCCTCTGTGCACAGTAGTAAAGCTAATTTCTGAGTTTCAAATAAAAACACCGTAACTCTGTTTTGTTTTCATATGACCTCCCCCCCAAAAAAAAAACACAGGAAAGAATGTCTCTTTCATGTATGACTGCCCTGGACACTTGGGTGCCAGTGGTTGCAGATGAGAAATGTGTATTTGTTCAGCGAGGTGTCTTTAAGCCCTCCTGGGTTAGGCCTGAGTTGAGAGTGATTTGGACAGGAAGGGCCTGGCCTATAGGAGTTCTGGACCAGGAGAAGATCCTGGCTGTCTACTAAATGCATTCCAGGCTGGGGAGGGGATCACACACAGGGTTCAGAAACAAAGGAGGAGTCTTGGGCAAGCCATAGATCACAATGGCTTCCCAGGGAGGTGCCCCTGGGCCACGCCTCTGGGTGGATGTCGCCAGGCAGACTGGAGGAAGAGGACCCTCATCATCCTCAAGTGGAGGTCCTGCGTTGATTCTTAGAAGGTGGGATGCTAATTGAGGCCAGGACCTGCTCTCAGTGCTGGGTTTGGGGATGATTGTGTGGATGATGATGTTCACTTTGTCCCTCACCAATTGGAAGAACGAAATTACTGAGAAGCATAGCTGAGAAGCATAGCGCTGGGCTTGGGGGGGTTGAAGTATGTGTCAGTCCCGTAGGGCTGCTGGAACAAAGGGCTATTAACTGGTGACTTAAACAACAGACATGTACTCACCATTTTGGAGGCCAGAAGTCTGGTTCAGCAGGACCAGCGGCCTCTCAATACTCTGGGGGAGAATTCTTCCCTGCCCCTTTCAGCCTCCAGGGGTGGCATTCCTTGGAGTCAGTCCCTGTGTCTGTTCAGGCTGGTGAAATGCCCCACAGAGCTAGGTGACCTGAGTTTGTTATCTTGCAGCTGCTTCACTCTAACTTTGTCTTCAACTGCTGTCATCTCTCTGTGTCTGGGTGTCTCTATATTTTCACATGACCCTCTTATAAGGACACCAGTCATTGGACTATGGACCGTCCTAATCCAGAATGAACTCTTCTAAGCTTGATTACCTCTGCAAAGACCCCACTCCAAAAAAAGATCACATTCACAGGTACTGAGAGTTAGGACTTCAGCATACCTTTGTGGGGGACGTAATTCAAACCACTGCCAGTCCATCTTTTTATATTTTAAGGTTTTTTTTTTCTGTTTTTAGCTATGTGAAAGGCATCTATTCTTTTGGATTGATGGAAACCAATTTCTATGATCAGGCAGAAAAACTCGCCAAAGAGGTAAGTGTGCCTTTTCTGAGGTGTGCTCAAACCTTCAGATAGTGACTGTCAGATGGGGCAGAGCACATGAGGGTCTCTACTTGGGTGTGACCCTGATGAATCCTCCCACCTATAGGCCTGACTTCTTCAGAGACACAAGGAGAGCTCATGTTAGTGTAGCCATGACGGGCCAAGGGCTTACCATGTGCCTGTCATTCACCTGTCCCTCCTGAGGTCCTCAGGGCCATGTTCCTTGGCTAAAGATTGTTCCACTTCCATAGATGGAGATACTGAGGCTCAGAGAGGCTATGGTCACCTCATTCACTCAGGGTTGCACAGTGTGGTGTCTCTGGACTTCCACCAGCTCTGTCTGGCTCCAGAGCCCACACGTTGCCCTGCTGGGACAGGAATTTTATAGGAGGAGAAACATATACAGATGTTGGTTCTTCCTCCTTGAACTTCACATTTCTAAGCATCACAGCTCTCGGGATTCAAGAAGTTGAGCGATGATTGCCAGTCATGATGGTTGGTGGATGCCCATACATGCCTGGGCTCAGGGCCAAGTGGCAGACTGTGGCTGTCAGAGCCAGGGTGTGAGCTGCCTAAAGCCCCGGGAGTCCCTCTCCTTCACTCCTCTTACCACGGGAGTATACACTGAGGCCCAGAGGGGACTGTCATGCACAAGGGGTGACAACAGTTCCTCTGCCAAGCTTGGTACTGGGACTTTATGTACACCTGCTGGCATCCTTACATCTCTGCCCAGGTGATATTAAACGCCTTGTTGCCTGGACAAGGCTCAAAGAGCAATCAAAGCCAGAGCCTGCCCAAGGTCACATGGCTCAGAGAAGGCAGAGTTGGAGTCTCCCGGGCCACCTGACCAATAGCTGTCCTTAAAGCTGCCTGGATAGGCCCCAGCTGTCCAGCATCCTGGCTGGGTTTTTCTGCTAGGACATTGCCCTAGTTGGCCTGAGCACCCCCTCCCCAGAAGATAGCACCCTCCAGGGCCCAGGGGTCCTATGGGGTCTCTGATGACCGCTCTAATTAAAGAATGGGAACTTAGACTTGAGGTTCAGGGTGAGGGGTTCTTGGCTTTAGCTCCAAGACAGGGCTGAGGGGACCTGGGTGACTTTCTTGTAGTCTTGGCTCCACAGCCTGGATAACCAGGCACCATCATCCAGGGAGACCATCACAGCTGGACCCTCCCGTTGACTGGCTTCCATCTTGGCGCTAGTAGACTGGTGGGGTAGTTGGAGAAGCTCTGGGCGAGTGAAACACATGGTGAACCAGACACGGACACATGGTGAACCAATCCCCACAGACTGCAGCCAGAAGATGCAGGCTCATGCTTCTCAAGGAGTAAGAAGTGGGGAAATAGGGCTCCCCTCCTGCTCCTTTCATGCCCTTTTCTCCTGCTGTCCCCCCTCCTGCTGACCCCACCACTAGCACCCCACGGACAATTACTGGGCAAGAAGACCAGGCTGTGATGATGCCAGGGCAGCAACACATGGGCGGTGTGTCTGCAGCCCCAGGTCAGCAAGAGCAACAGCTAAGCAGTGAACAAAGGCCCAGTCATGGAGCTTAGGGACCTGGAGCTCCCCGTGGCTTGATGAACTGAGTCTTAAGGCACGGGTGGGCACACCAGGGCACTAGGAGCTAGGACTGGGGAGGGATGGGCAGTGGCCAGATCGGACTTGGCCTCTTAGCCCAGGAAGGAAATTCACATTCTTTCTCAGGGAACCTTGGAAGGACTCTAAGGGAGGAAGTTGGTCAGCCCCTTGGAGAGGTGACAGCCATAACCCTTCACTTCTGCCATATGTGAAAGCAGCACACTCAGTGGAGTTCCTCAGACCATGCTCTGCTGTCTCCCCAAGGATACTGAACTCAGGGCCTGAGCTCTGAGGGTACTCACAGTCCCCTGCAGACATGCTTTCTGTCCCTACATGTCCCCATGTGGAGTGGGCAGGGCTCATGAAAACTGATGAGTAGGAGCTGAGAGGCTGGGCTTGCTGGGGACGCAGGCCTTGCCAGGCCAGGCCAGGCCAAATGTGCTTGGGGCTTCTGTACACTTGTGAAAGATGTGGGGAGACTGAGGTAGCAGGGCTAAAAGGAACCCATGATTTGGCATGGGGGACCTGGGCATAGGCCAGTCCGTGGGACCTCTGTGAGCCTCAGTTTATTGCTCCATAACCAGAGCTGAACAAATGAATAGAAGAATGAAATGGCTAGGAGGTGACAGTCATTCCTCGTGTCCTACTTGCCTCACTGGTTGCTGTCAAACTCAGGTCTTGTGAATGGCTATTGTCGTTAGCAGTAATAATAACAGAGCCAACTGTTTCTTCTTCTTCTTTTTTTTTTTGAGTTGGAGTCTCACTCTGTCGCCCAGGCTGGAGTGCAGTGGCACACTCACAGCCACCCCAGCGTTGACCTGCTGGGCTCCGGCGATCCTTCCACCTCAGCTTTCCAGGTAGCTGGAACTACAGGTGCGCGCTACCACACCTGTCTCATTTTTTATTTATTGTGGAGATGAGGTCTCGCCAAGTTGCCCAGGCTAGTCTCGAACCCCTGGTGATCACTGGCAATTCGCAAGTAATCCTCTCACCTCAGCCTCCCAAAGTGCTGGGATTACAGGCTTGAGCCACCGTGCCCTTTCTTATTTTTTTCTAAGGACAAGACCTCGCTTTGTTGCCAGGCTGGAGTGTAGTGGTGCAGTTTTTGCTCACTACAGCCTCAAACTCCTGGGCTCATGTGATCTTCCTGCCTCAGCCTCCCCAGTAGCTGGAACTATAGTCACATGCCACCACACCCAGCTAACTTTTAAATGTTAATTTTTGAAGAGATGAGGTCTTGCTAAATTGCCCAGGCTAGTCTTGAATTAGCTTCAAGCGATCTTCCTGCCTCAGCCACCAGAGTAGCTGGGATTTCAGGTGCAAGCCACCAGGCCTGGCTCCAGAGCCACCTGTTTCTGAGTCCAGAAAGCCATGTGCAGTTGTCACATGTATGATAGTGGGAGGACACAGCCATAGGCCACTGGAGCACTTAACAGTCTACACTGTATTCACGTGGACAGTGACTGTTTCTCTGCTGCAGCTCCTCCACTGGGGGGAAACTGAGAAACAGAGGTTGGGCGTCATGTTGCAGGTGACTTGCCTATACACAGGAGGCTGTGGGGTCAGGGATGAGCCCTGGCTTTGGAAAGACCCTGTTGCCATCCAACTGTGTGACCTTGGACAAGTCACTTAACCTCTCTGAGCTTCAGTTTCCTCATCTGTGAAATAGGCAGTGAGACCTTCCATGGCAGCTTCCAGTGATTGGCAGCACAAGCTGGTATGCTCTGAGCACACCGGAAATGGTGCTTATTGTAATTGTTTTGGGTCAGAGCCCTATTCTCCTACTCATTCTACCCCCTTCACCTTAGGCCTCTCTTCCCCTTAGACACCTGCTATCATGGGCCCAGGCAGCCTGACTAATCCATGTTTTTTGGACTCCCCCTCCCACTACAACCCCATAGGCCTTATCTATTAACCCGACGGATGCATGGTCCGTGCACACCATCGCTCACATCCATGAGATGAAAGCAGAGATCAAAGACGGGTTGGAATTCATGCAGCGCTCAGAGACCCACTGGAAGGTACAATTCTCGTTGATGGGTCACCTCCCCAGAAATTTCAGTGCATTGCCTTGAGTTAGGCTGAGGCTTTGTGGACAGGAGGTACAGGGTGTGGCATAGTTCTTGGGGAACTTGTGTTCAGCGTGGAGGCGTTTCTGTTGTGCTACAGCGCACCCCGGGAGCCCACAACACCTACCTAAGTTTTGCAGGTGATTCTAGAATTGGTCTTGGCCTGAGGCATTTGGTTGTCAAAGAAATGGGTCAGAAAATTGCTGGGAAACCAGAGCCTGGAGAGGGTGAGAACTGCGAGGTGTGAGCTGTTTCTTCTGCTGCTGGCCAGTGGAATCAGCATGGAACCGTGGAGTGGCCTGAGGTACACAGAGAGCAGCTGGGAAGGAGGCCCATGGGGGAGTTAGTGCAATGATAGTCTGCAGGGCTGGCATGTGGGTCTTGGGGCCTTGTGAGGGAGGAATGCTGGCCATGTAGACCCCTAGCATCCTGCCAGGTCCCTTTCCAGGGCCTCACCATGCTGTGGCCTCTCTGTCCCCATTCCTGACACCTCACTTCCCCCAGCCCAGCTCCTGGCTCAATGCCCTCTCTGGAGCCTTTCTCTCCCTGCCTACCCATAGAGGCCCTCCCCTCCTCTTTGTGTGCCTGTTTTCTTGGGGCTTGCCTCTGGCATACAACCTGGCCACCTGTCTAGATGCGGTTGCTGCTCTGCCCTTCTCTATGCCGTAGTAGGCGCATCAGGGAACCATTGGGCAAGATGGCGCGTCTCTCCCAGGGCCTGGCACTGAGTGGCAGATGTTCAATTATGTGAGTGTACAAACTAAGGATTGACCAAGAGCCAGCTTCCCCCAGCATCCCTCTGAGCAGCTCCCTGGCCCAGGGCATTCCCAGTGAGATGTAATTTATGAGAAGATAGATAACTCCCTCTCTGGAAGTGATCTTAGGTAAAGCAGGTGATCAGTGTAAGAATGTTTGAGAACTACAATCCTGTGAGGCTGATGCGTGGATCTGTTTAAGGATCCCCAAACACTGAGGACCCAAAAGACCCAAGGGCATCAGCAACCCGAAGGCCAGTTGGGTGGTCCCCACTCCTAGGCTCTCCCAGCAGATACTGTTAGTTCTTGCAGGAGGGAGTGCTAAGTCTGAATTGTGGGAGCACTGGCATGGCCATGTCCTCTGACAGAGGGGCAGGGGGCTGCCTACCATGGGGCAGGGAGGCCTGGTTAGGGCTAGCATTACTGGTGTTCCATTCACATTCCTCGCCGAGAACACTGCCAACTTGTGGGGCCCGAGACAACTATATTTGAGGCCTGACTTTGTGCCGGGGTAAGTACTTGATCCCGGTGAGCCTCAGTTTCCTCATCTGAACCCCGGCTAATGTGACAACTGTGAAGCCCTTGGCTCTAAACCAGTTCTCATTGGTGTGGGTTCTGGTGTGTGTAAAACAGGGTGGCCAAGGCTGAGGTCACCTCAGAATGGGCTATTGTCCTCTGATGTCTTCATCTGTCCCCTGCATGGCTCTTGGCAGCCCCTGGCCTGGCTGGAGGACCCTGGGTATAGACAACATAGCCTGGGTCTGCCTTTCCTTCTCTTATGTCACTTGCCTCAGGTGTTTAACTGCTGAACACAGAGCTCAGTTAAAATCCCAGTCCTCACCCCAGACCTGTGCCCTGCCCTGGGAACACCACTGAGCATCCAACCCTGACTTCTCTGTCCTTGCAGGGCCTATTCATGTGGAATGACTGGCCTCCTAGAAGTGTATGAGCTGTACCATGACAGGGCACTCTTAGGGATGTGGAAACGCAGAGGAGACATCAAGCCCAGTGGGCTTGGAGGGGGAGTGGTCAGGGAAGGCTTTCTGGAGGAGACAACCTCTGAGATGAGGATTGAAGGATGAGTAGAGGTGTTTGCCATGCAAAATAGGGGAAGATGGAGGGTCTCCCAGCCAAGGACCAGCTTGAGCAAATATGCCAAGGGTTTTGGTGACTTGTAAGGGAGAGGGGAGTCAGGCAGTTTAGTGTCCTATAGCCCAGATAGGAGGTGAACATGGGCCGTGCAGGAAGTGTTGTCAGTTCCCCTTTCCAGGGAGGCACAGTAGAGTACAGACAGAGGAGGAATCAGCTGCAGAGGTCTCAGAGAAGAAAGTGTCATGGTCGGGGGTGGGTCCTCTGAACAGAGACAGGACTGGGTTACGTGTGTCACTGGGCTCAAGGAAGAGGGGGCCTCCCCTGGGGCAGGGACACAGGTGCAGACCCCAGGCCACTCGGTGAGTACCTGCCATGTGCTCTGGGTCAGTGAGAAATCAGGCCTCAAGGGTGGTAGAGGGTATGTACTTGCCCTGGAGCAGGTACCATGTGGTCTGAGCTGTGCTGGGGAAGACCCTCAGGCCTCCAGATTCAGCTTCGCCAAGGGGGCAGCTGTCAAGTTCCCTCCTCTCTGCCAGGGAGGTTTGATTTAGGTTTCTGAGTGCTGGGTGCTGTCACCTGTCAGGGCTCCTGAGTCTAGTTTCCCAAGCTTGGAATGTCCTAGCAGGGGCCAGCTCTGAGCCAATCACAGGTCTTAGTTACACTGCCTCATGCTGAGAGCCGGCCTAACAGAAACATCCAAATATCAACCCGCTCTCTTATTCTGAAGGCTTTGCAGGCGCCTGCTGGAGTTTGGCCGTGGGCCTGTTGATCCTCACAGTTTTATCCAAGTGCCCTGAGCTGCTTGGGCACACCGTGGGCCTCATAACTCCCTGTGGGAGTTCCTTTTCTCTTGTTCCTTTTCTCAATTCAGCACGTGTGATGAAGCTTGAGTTGCTCAAGTAACTTCCTCTACCTTGGTCCTGGTGCTACTGCTCCCTAGCTTGGTTAAGCAAGTCATCGACCTCCCCCAGCCTCAGTCTCCTCCTTGGTGAATTCAGGCATGATAGAGATGTTCAGCATAGGCCAGCCAAGGGCCTGTGCACAGTAAATGTTGTTTCCTGCACTTCAAGAGGATGGATTCTGCATTACTACAAAAGAGCATTTGTTTTTGTTTTTTTCCCAAATGCTGTCAGATTTTTCTTCAATTATCTTGTTTTTTTTCCCCCTCCCAGGATTCTGATATGCTTGCTTGTCACAATTATTGGCATTGGGCTTTATATCTGATTGAGAAGGTAAGGCGATCATCTGTTTGCATTGTCTTATCCTGTAAAGACATCCAGAAGAAGAAAGATTTTATTAGCTTTTGCTGTCCATTCACATCACATGGAGTCACGTTTTGTGTCTGCATGTTTAAATGGTGTCCTGATGCAATGTAGCATTCACGTTTTCGAAAAGCTTTCTGGGCTTGACCTGCTTTAGGCATTTTTTCACTGTTAGGACTTAGAAATCATATCTATGGTGTATAATTTGTGGAGCCCATTCAGATTGAGTCTCTCCCTGCTGCTGGAGGGGACATCAAGCCCTTGCCCCACAGGGTACACCTACATGCACTGTGAGAGCTTCCAGGGGGAGCTGGGGTGTGGGGCAGCTACTTGGAACACCCATGACCTCAGTGATTCTGCTAGAGGGTTCCATTATGAGGGTGTTTCTTACAGTGCTCTTCTTCACAGAGAGACACTGGAAGCTTCTGAAATGTCCAAAGAGAGATAAGTGCTTGGAACATGCAGACCCTGTCTTGACATAAGAATGTGACCCTACTATGTCCAGAAGAAGGCAGTAAACCCAGCTGACCATATGGTGTGGAAAATATATGTAGAGAAAGAAAAAGGTTAGAAGGAAACACATGAAAGAGCTTGTAGCAGTTAGTATAAGCAATACTTATATTAACTTTTCTAAGGAGAGAAATGATCCTTTCATGGAAACTGTTCTTAGTGGCAACCCAGGATTCTGCTGTCACTCCTATACTGGGAAGCACAGGGCCCAGAGCTGAAGGTCTCCTAAGGTCTCCCCGGGCTGGAGTCTCCTAAGACCCACACCACTGAGGCACTGACCATCTCCCTCCGTGGAAGGAGGAAATCACCGGCTGGTGGGGGATGGCCTCTGTGCTGGTCTTTTTCAGTTCATTTCTCAGTATTAACATATTGCCTTCTCCAGAGGCTAATCATGGGAACTTTATTCTTCCAGGGTGAATATGAGGGTGCACTGACCATTTATGATAATCACGTAAGTGAGCTTTTGCACTGTGTTGGGTTGACTGTAGCAGTTTGCCTTTTGTCTCGAACAGATCTCTGAGTTTATCAGTATGGTCCCAGCCAGAAAAAACAGCTGGGGCAAGAACATGTTTCTTGTGTAAGTCCTCATGACATTGTTTTTTGCCAAAAGCAGTGTTGTAACCCAGCTTGCCATGGGAACATTAGTTGATTCTGCTCACCCCAGGGGTGCTGATACATCTGCACATCTAAAGGAATCCCCTCTGCGATCACACTTTCCCCAGTCCTTTTCGATTGCTTTTCTTTGGTAAGATAGTTGGTCTACTCATAGGAATTTACTTTTACTGTGATAAAATATAAATAACATAAAATTAAGTGTACAGCTCTGTCATTAAGCACATTCATATTGCTGTACAACCATCACCACCCTCCGTTTCCAGAACTTTTTCATCTTTCCAGGGTGAAACTCCAGGCCTATTAAACACTAACTCCTCATTCCCCCTCCCCAGTCCCTGGGTATTCCCTAAGAAAAACCCAGAGATGGAAGGGGAAAAAAACCTGACTCATAGCTCCCAGGTACCCCAATGGGGGCTTAATAATAAAAACCTGGAACCACAGAAGTGCTTATGATTTGGGGATCTAAACACTAGAGGAAAAGCACACAAGAAAGTTCCCTTGAAGTAATCCTTTCGATATTGTCAGGCTGTACTGAGAAGTGAATGGTGACATACACTGTGTGTTCAAGGTAGCCCGCTGAGCAAAGCTAAATCTAGAAATGTGAATGGGCAGGGTGAGTCTCCTGCCAGCGTGGTCTGGGGTCCAGGGGTGGGAGGTGACAGATGCCTGGGCCTGGCATGTGCTCCGGGCAGGTAGTGCAGTGGGCTCCTTCTTCAGTTCTGCTGGTTCCCCTCTGGCACCTAGAGCAGTCTGCGCCTCGGGTGAGGGTAACAGTCCTGATGGCTAAGGCAGTGGGGACGATGGTGGTGGCTCCCATTTACTGAGGGCTTGCTCTGGGCAGGCGCCACTTGACCCAGGCAGGCTGACCCCAGCCTTTCCTATGGCCCCCTCATGTGTCCACCTCCTGAACCTGTCCTTGGTGGCTCTTGTCTTCCAGATCCTCCCTAGCCTGCAGGCCAGTGGTGCGATGCTGGACATGGTGGACAACTGTTCCATGCTCTACCGCCTCCAGATGGAAGGTAGCCATCTCTGTACTCCCCGCTGGCTCCCGCCTCCCTCCTCTCACATAATGCGGGGATGGTGCTGCAGCCGGTCCCAGGGCTGGGCAAGAACTTATGTGTGAGCAGCTCTAGACCCTCAGGCTTTAGGCCAGGCATGCCTGGCTGCTGCCTTGAGTATACTCTGTAACTGCCTCCCAGGCGGCCTGAGGCGAGTGGGCCCGGGCTGCGCTGCCCTTTTTTCCAGTTCCCACCGCTCCTCGGTGAGGAGTCCTCTGGCTCTCTGCCCACAGTGGCACCTGCCATTCCCATGGCCTGCCCACAGAACTTCAGGGCACAGATGGCACCCAGCCACCTGTCTCGATGCTGCCTCCTTTCTTAGAACACGGAGTTTCTCAACTCCCTAGGATTGCACAGGGACGTTTCTCAACCTTGACATGCTCAGTAGGTAGCCTGGTTGGGCCAGATACAGCTCTAGGGGCTGTGGAAGCCTCCAGCCAACCACTGGGGTGCCAAATGGTTCTTCCCTCACCCCTAGATTCAGCAGAGCCAACCCTGTACCCACACAAACATGGGCTAGACCTTGGATCAATAGTACAATGTGGGATGCAGGCCTGGTCAGGACCATTTGGGGGACCTGAGGAATGGCACAGCAGGCTGTTTCTGGAAGGTTCTGGGAAGGCTTCCTAGTGGAGGTGAAATGTGAACCATGGAAAAGATGTTTGGGGTTCACCAGGCAGAGGTGAGGAAAGGATGTTACAGAGAGAGCAACCTGTTCAAAGCCACCAGGACACAGAAACCAATAGCCTATTATGGGACGAGTCACTGGAGGGCAGGCTCAGTGTGGTCAGATGGGGTAAGAGGAGGCTGCGGGAGCCAGGAAGGGCAGGCTGAGGCCAGAGACCAGAGAAAAGTGAGGAGGCTGGGGGGGTCCATGAGGAGGCCAGGGATCTGTGTGGAAGCTGGGGGAATGGTGAGGAGGCCCAGGGATCCTTGGGGAGGCTGGGCAAATCTGTGAGGAGGCCAGGGGAGGCCTGGAGCTTGTCAAAGGGCTGAGAGACTTCATTATTAAGCCTTTGACAGTTTTTAAAATTTGCTTTCAACCTTATGCATCTATTGCTTTTATAGATAAGCAAAATTAACATAATTTATTAAAATTCATTATAATTTCATAATTATGTTAACTCAACAAATTAACATAAACCAGGAGTCCACAAGCCTCAGCATGAGGCCGGTTGCCACCCGCCAGTCCTGCTCACCCCTCAACCTCTCACCTGGAACAGGCCATAAGGGTCTCTGAGGGATGTGCAGGGAAGAAGGCCGTACATAGGACACACTCTGGAGCCTTATGCCAGGCTCTGGGTTTTCTCCCTGTGTCCTCAGGAGTGTCTGTGGGCCAGCGGTGGCAGGATGTCCTGAGGGTGACCCAGAAGCACAGCCAAGACCACATCTTGCTGTTCAATGATGTCCACTTCCTGATGGCGTCCCTGGGCGCTCGGGACTCCCAGACCACACAGGAGCTGCTGACCACCCTGCAGGATGCCAGCGAGTACACAGAGGGGCCCTCATTGGGGTGGGGGGATACAGCCAGGGAGGCTGGGGACAGAGGCCCCACCTCTGAGCACAGCTTTGGGGATACCTATGGAGGGCTGCTCCCAAGCCTGTGCCCCCTGGGTGCATGCCTTACAGGTGTGTACTTCTATAGATACGCATCCTGCAGGTATGTACCCCTGCTGCTGTGAAGTCAGGTGTATGGCCCCACTGGTGCAAGACTCCAGGATACAAAGCTACTTTGCTATCCCTGGGGTGGGTTTGAGAGCCTCAGTGTCACAGGGCAGCCTCCCCTAAAGAGGGACACAACAGGGCTCTGGAACCAGAGACATCTGCTGCTTACAGGCCTTGGGATACTGGACAAGGTGCTTCTCTGCCCTGAGCCTCAGTTTCCTCATCTGTAAATCAGGGATGGTGACTGCCAAGAGCTGTTGAGGGACGGCCTCAGAGACTTGCGGTGCTAGACCTCTACCTGTATTGTCTGAAATCCTGATAGCTCTGTGAGGTTGGTACTGTGGTGCCCACTTTACAGGTAAGAAAACTGATGCCAGAAGGTGAGGGGCCTGTCCAGGGCCAGGTAACTGGTAACAAGCCAACTCCAACCCAGATCTAAGTTCAGAGCCCTGTTCTTTCCCCTTGCTGGGCTGCCTCTCCTCTGTCACCTCACCCTGTCAGTGTGGCTGTGTGTAGGGCAAGGGACCAGGGACACCTCACTGAGTAAGAAACAGCTCCTCTGCTCACAGGTGTGCTGTGATGGGTCAGGCTGCTGAGAGCACTGTCTCGGGTTGGCAGATCCCCCGGGGAGAACTGTCAACACCTTCTGGCCCGAGATGTGGGGCTGCCCCTGTGCCAGGCCCTGGTGGAGGCTAAGGATGGGAATCCCGACCGTGTTGTGGAACTGCTCCTGCCCATCCGCTACCGGATTGTCGAGATTGGAGGCAGCAATGCCCAGGTGAGCTGGCTGCGTCCAGCACAGCTATCAGCTGGAGCTCCAGGTGGCCCGGGTCAGGAAGCCTGTGTGCCCAGCAGCCCCCAAGTCTCTCCCATGGTTGGAGGGAGCCTCCTTATCACTCATATCACTGTCTGCCTTGAGAGCAGGCCAGCCTGCTGTGGGTGGGGTGGGGACTCCTGTCCCCTGTTCTGCATATCAGAAGCCTAACATGCCCAATTGACATTTCAGAGAGACGTCTTCAACCAGCTACTGATTCATGCGGCCTTGAACTGCACCTCCAGCCTCCATAAGAACGTGGCCCGGTGAGCCCCTGGCCCCTTCCTGACATACTTGCCTCTTACATAGGTTCTCCCTGCAGACCTCTGGATGCCTGGAGGCTCCACCTCCCTTGACCAGATGTGTTCATGCTTTTGAAGTTGTGAAGATGCAAGTCTGAAGGGAATTTGGTTCTCCGTTGTTAGCCTGCTTAACTTGACCAAGGGAGCCAACCAGTCCCCACCCCAGGACCAACTCCTGCCCCCCAGCCCACTCCCCATTTTAGCCATGCAGAGCTACCCAGTTGCCAAACATATCCTGCTCTTCCAGGCCCCTGGGCCTTTGCACATCCTGTGCCCTCTACCTGGGACAGCCTTTCTCCTTTTCTATCTGGCTGGCACTTACTGCTCTTACAGCCCCAGCTCACTTTCTCTTACCTGCCTGTGCTGGGTGCCACGAGGCACTGGTGAGCTGGCAGACCCAGGACCTGGCTGCCTGGAGACTGTCTATGGTGGGGAACTGGCATGAAATGGTTAATCACACTCATTATGTAAAATTGCCCAGAGGGAGGGGCGCATTGCCCTAAGATGCTGTGACAGAGGCACTGAGTGGACAGGGAGGTTGGCAGAGTCTGGGGACGTACCCCACAGAAGTGACACTTGTGGAGAGACCTGAAAACCAAGTGGACTTAACAAGTCCACAGGTGGGTGTGTTAGGAGGGTAGTGTAGCTAGAAGGTGGGGGTGTCAGAGACCCCAAGATATGAGGAGCCCCAGCCATTGCCAGCTCCTCTCAGTGCTTCCTCAGCCTGGCAGTCTTACTGGGCTGCGGTTGCCAAGCTCTTTGTTGACTCCTCGACAGCCTGTGTGCCCCTGGGGGTGAGACTTTGCCCCGCCCCCCTTGCCCATGTCCCCTGTGTTTGAGGGGCAAGAAGAGAAACCATGGGGTGCCCAAGTGCCACGGCCCATACGGCTGCCTTGAGGGTCCCAAGAGAGAGCAGCGAAAGATTAAGAAAGACTTAAACACAAAGACATAAAGAAAAGCTGGGGCCAGATGGGACACTTTCCTCTGATGGAGAAGTGGCCCCGAACTAGCTCAATATGTTTATTTTATAATCAAGCACAAAGAAAGTTGGAAGGGATTCAAGGTCTGTGAGGGAGCTATAATGGATTTTTGTTGCTACCTAAAGGCGAGCTGTTCCGTGGTTATCTTGTAGCTAAGGCTTTATCTGTACTATGTTCACCCGGATGTATGGGCATCTGAGACGCCATTTCGTGTAGCAGGCTGTATCCCTTGCCTTTGGCTAGGATGCAGAAATACCAAGTGAGACCTTGCCTATGAGCTCGGGGCCATTAAGTGAGACCTTGCCTTCGCTTGGGGCCTTTACTCAAGGCCTACTACAGTGACAGTGCTCGTCTGCTCCCCATATCACATCTGCTCCTGACATCCCCCCTTTTTTATTTTCTGAATGTAGGCTATTGTGGTGGCTCTGAATTGGCCTTGGAGGATTCCATATCTGACTGGCAAAAAACAAAGGAGGATTAGAGTAAACATGAAAAAATTCAGAATATGCCAAGCAGAATGCTTTAATAAATTAAAGGGATTGAATGTCTTGAAATCATAAAGATTTTGTGCCATTTGGGCAAGTTGTAAGATAGGATCTTGGCTGTTCTGGATGTCTAGAATATTGTGGTGGAGCTTAAGCAGGTTTATGCTGATGTTATTGTGACTCCATATCCCTTGTAGGTGTTTTTTGACTAAGTCCCAATTTCAAAGACTGTTATTATAAGAAACACAAACCCAATTGTATGCCACATGGCATCGTAGTTGTTGTTTCATTTTTATGCTGTTTATCTGGTTTCCCAATCCAGTGACTACAGCCTCCAGGGCATTTAATTTTGTTTCTAGCTTTAAGTCTATGGATTCTTGCTGTTGTAGGACCTTGCAGGTATTTTGAATCAGCGTTGACGAACTCATCATTTTGGATGAATTGAGACAGTGTGACAGCGGCAGTCACTGCAGAAGCAATGGCTGAAATTAAGGTTACCAGTCCAAAAATTATCAATCCAATGGCCCTATGAGGCCAGGAAGCAAGTTGGTGGTGTAATTCCTGAAGTCCTTGCAGTCCTGCATCATCATACTAAGGGCCTGATATGTTAGTAGGATTCATAACAACGGGGTGCTGGTGTAAAACCAGGATGTCTTGTCCTGCATTATTGTGGGTGACACAATTTGTAAGATTATAAGAGTTACATTATAAGGCAGAATGATTATGTACTGGGGTGACATTAACAGAGCCTGTTAAAAGGACATATGGAGGTTGGACACAGGCTTGTACCACAGCTTCCTGCCAAATTGACCAGTGACGCACTAGTAAAGTTAACAAAATCAAGGGAGGCAGTGAGCTGCCACAGTTCCTTTTGGATGTCACCTTGAGAAGTAGTAAGGATGTTGCCAACAAAAACCACTAGGGGAAATGAGGTCATGGTTAGGATGAGAGGGGTCCAGTCTGTGAGACCAATCATAAATTAAGAGGGGGGTTTCCATAAGTTTTAGGACCGTAGGCGCAGGAGTGGCACATTCTATCCAATTGTGGAATTTGCCAAGCTCTATTCCTGTGCTATTAAGGCAGTATGAGACATTGGGGTGAGCCTGGGAGACATTATAAGTAGAACTAGGGAACCCCCACTTAGATATAGTTTATAGATATTTTGTTATGTCCCAGGGGCCCAAAATATTAGCTATTTGTTTAGCCCCATAGGAGGTTTTATTTTCTTGACTCATCTTAAGACAACCCAACTTAGGGATGTTAGATAGGCAAATAGGAAGGCTATTACTAGCCCCCGTGAAGTTAAAATTTATACTGTGGTCAGCAGTAATATGTTTATCAGACTGTCCTTCCAACATACGGGTATTGTTGATAAAGACAGGGACCTACCCACCAGCCCAAGTAGTGGGTTGGAGAATGGGAGGGTCCGGGAAATAAGTCCAATAAGGATTTCTCCTTGTTCTACGAACCTAGCAAACAACAGTGGCTAGCATGGCCGTGAACAAGGCTGGGAGAACTTGGCCCTCTAAGTTGTTTACTGACCATATTCCAAGTATCCAAATTAACTGTCCCTTGAGCAGGGAGCCAGGAGCATGTTTCCTGTACAAAGCTTAAAAATTCCTCTAGCTGAGAACTTTTAACTGGGCAGCCTCTTGCCCGAAGCATAGATTTTAACTCTTGGACATGCAGACTTCTCTCTTGGGAGCCACAATTACCCATGTTTTACACTCAGCTGAAACTAAATCTGCTCCTTACCTTACCTTATTTTTAGGTGCACCTCTCTCGGAATGTCTCTTTGCCTGAGATTAGGTGTTCTCTCATGCTCAGGTTCCTGTGCTGGTGCAAGATGCCATGGCCTGCATGGCTGCCTTGAAGGTTCTGAGAGAGAGTGGTGAGAGATTACGAAAGACACAGACACAAAGACATAAAGAAAAGGTGGGGCCAGGTGGGACACTTACCTCTGATGGAGGAGAAGTGTCCTGAACTAACTCAGTATATTTATTTTATAATCAAGCGCAAAGAAAGTTGAAAGGGATTCAAGGTCTGTGAGGGAGCTATAACGGAATTTTGTTGCTACCTAAAGGTGAGCTGTTCCACAGTTATCTTGTCGTAGCTAAGGCTTTATCCGTACTATGTGCACCCAGATGTGTGGGCATCTGAGACGCCGTTTCATGTAGCAGGCTGCATCCTTGTCTTTGGCTAGGATTCTGAGCTACCAAGCGAGACCTTGCCTATGAGCTTGGGGCCATTAAGCCAGACCTTGCCTTCGCTTGGGGCCTTTACTCGAGGCCTGCTACAGTGACAGTGCTCGTCTGCTCCTCACATCACATCCACTCCCGATACCTGAGGGGAGAGAGGTGCTTGGGGGCCCATGGCTACCAACAAGCCTGGTGGTTTAGGTGCAGGGGCACTGGCCCAGCTCCCTCTGGCAGGATTTCCAAATGAAGCCGTACAGTTCGATGGCACTGATGAAACAGGTGTGGCTCTGAAATGTCTTAGACATATGTCCCCTACTTCATCCCTCTGTGACCATACGCAGAACCACCTATGTTTCTTTAGTGGTGAAACCCCTTAGGGAGCTCCAGGTTGTGGCTTGGGTGGGAGACACACTGAGAAACGTGACCACATGGACAGGAGGGCTGAGGATGGAGCTGGGACAAGGTCTGGCACTCAGAGCTGGTGGGCCTGCCTGGGTCACAGTGGATAGTGCTGGGGAGGAACAGGCTGCACAGGATCTGACAGTTGTTGCAAGGCGAGGAGCGCATTCCCTCCAAGTTCTCTGTGGCCACCAGGCAGCACCTGTGGGGCTGTCAGCACAGCTCACCTGATCCCAAAGCCAGGAAACCCTCTACCCTGGCCATGATGTCCCACACTGAGTGCCAGGCCCAGCCTTTTAACACCTTTCACACCCCACAGAACCACTGTTGTCAGTTGTTTGGGGGCTGTTTTGGTCTGCTCAGGCTGCTATTTTAAAAAAACCCCACAGACTGGATGGCTTACGTAATAGTCATTTATTATCTCTCAAGGCTCTGGAGGCTAGAATGTCCAGGATCAAGGTCTAGCAGGGTGTGGTTTCTGGTGAGGCCTTCTTTTCCTGGCTTGTAAACAGACTTTTCCTCTGAGCATATCTGTCTCTCTCCCTTTCTCCCCTCTCCCTCCTTCCTTCCCTTTCCTCCTCTCTCTCTAAGAGACAGAGTCTTGCTCTGTTACCCAGCCTGGAGTGCAATGGTCCCATCATAGTTTACTGCAGCCTTGAACTCCTCCTGTTTCTACTGCAGCTCAAGAAATCCTCCTGTTTCAGCCTCCTGAGTAGCTAGGACTACAGGTGCACCACCACACCTGGCCACATGTCTTCTTATTAGGGCACTGATCCTATTCATGAAGGTCCTACCTTTATGACCTAATTGCCTCCTAAAGGCCTCCCCTCCTAAAACCATCACCTTGGGGATATGGGCTTCAACATATGAATTTGGTGGGGATACAAATATTCAGTTCACAGCTAGGTCTTTACCTTGAACGGTATCTGTAATTGCTTTCTTCAAACAGATTTTTTCCCCATACCTTCTCTTCTGCCACTTGCTTTTCCTGGAACAGTCTCAGGTGTGGCTTCCTACCCTGACCTTAGACACCCCGTTCCTCTTGTCCCCAGCATTGAGCAGGAGGATCAGGCCAGACCGAGACAGACCAGGCCACAGTGAATTCTCATCACTCTTGGCATCATGGGGTTTCTAGTTTTTATCTTTAAGACAGAGTCAAAGTGTTCTCCAACCTGGATGCCCCAGTTCCGCTCCTACCAGCTGTGCATGAACTTGGCTTATGGAAGTCTGTGTTACCCCTCTACCCACTGAGGCCAGGCCTCCTCCCTTTGCATCTTGGCCCACCCTACTCCCTCTGTGCTGTAGCCCTGGTTGCCTGTGTCCTGACTTGGGACCAAGGGTCCACACCAGGACCCACATCCTTCTAGAAAGTTCCATAAGAGAACCTGTATCTGTTTCCACAGGAGCCTTCTGATGGAGCGTGACGCCTTGAAGCCCAACTCGCCTCTGACCGAGCGGCTCATCCGCAAGGCAGCCACTGTCCACCTCATGTAGTGAACTGGCCTGGCTGCCTCTGACCTGGAGACTTCAGCGATGGCCTCCCTAGCATTCTATCAGCTGCTCTGCTGGATTAGGGTCAGGGGAATAGCCAGGGCCTGTTTGTTAGGGCTGTTAAGAGGGTGATCTTCAGTCTTATGCAGAAAGCCCTGGAAACCAACGGTTTCACAAATTAATTTTAAATATGATTCAGAATCTTCTTCCAGTCCTTGCAAAGGGCCAGCATCAGAGCCCACATGGGTGCTGCTCTTTCCACTTGTCTTGCAAATTGTATTTTCCCAGGGAAATGCTTATACTTACAGACTGGCTGTTCAAGGTTTGGAAGGCAGGCAGGGGTGGGATTTAAAAGGGTTTATCCCAAGAACAGCTCCTAGAAACACCAGGCTGTTCTTGGGATAAACCCTTTCATTTAGTTTTCCTTATATCCTAGGCAGGCTCTGTTGTCCCACTTTTTAGGTGAGGGTACTGATGGTGGGGGAGTGACTTGCCCAGGGTCCACTAGTAGAAGCTGTGGCCTCAGCCCCCAGTTGATGCACCCACCATCGTCCTGACAGATGAACGAGCACATGGGGTGGCTCTTTCTGCTGTCTCTGGGGAGCAGTCTTTGAGCCTCCCTCAGGAGGCTTTGGTGGTGCTGATTTGGACTTGTTTCTCTTTTTGAACTGCACATCATAACGAGGCTTCAGGTACAAGGGTTCCTGGATCAACTATGGTTTTTTATTACATGAATGCAGATGCATTTCTAGGGTGTGAGGATTGAGCTCTCAGGGCTGCTCTTGAGACAAAAACCAAAGCACTGTGACATGACTATAATAAGATCTGAGTGGGTCTTCTGTCTCCTACTTCCTTATAACCTGCTTGAGGTCCCTCCTGAATGTGCTGCTGTCAGTCTTCCAGTGAGGGGAGATTCCAGGGCCAAGATGTTTTTCAAGTTCCTTCAGTTTGTACTGGAATTAGGTAGGGACTCATCAGGGCAGGAAGGGGCAGGCCTCCTGGGAGGGAGAAAAGGCCTCCACATTCATTAGGTCTCTGCAGTTTTCTAAAGCCTAGAAAAATTCCTAGGACTAAAATAAATCAATCAGTTCATTTGACTAACTCTTGTGAGTACTTTTGAACATCTATGTGCCAGGCCTGGGGCTGGTTCCTAGGCAGACAGGCTTCTTGAACTTGGGATGGGTGAAGCAGTGAGTCAAGAAAATGAGTGGTTACACTAAGATTTCCAGAGAGGTACTCTCTCTATCCAGGAGCTAGGGACACATCCTAAGGGGGAGCCTCCCTCCCCTCTCCTGGCTCCAAGCAAGACATGACTTGGCCAAGGAAGGAAGAACTCTTCAGGAAGACTTCTGCCACCCCCTAACCCCCACTGCAGGCTGGTAAGGTTGCCTCCTCTGTGCCCCACAGCCCTTGGCACCTGCCCTTACTATTGTGCCTTTCCTGCTGTGACCTCTTCAGGTCACAGACAGCATCTGTGTCCCAGCATCACCCAGCACATGGTCTGCACTGAGTAGCTGTCAGTAAAAGTTGGTAAATGAATGCGTGAATAAGTAAAGTAGAACCCTACTGGGGGAAGGAAGAAATGAATCTATGATAGGCAAATAATTTTTTTTAAAAAGGGGGAAGGAAGCCAAGAGAAGAGGGATGGAGTGAAGATATAGTTTAGAGAAACAGCAACGTTATCAATCATTTGTGCTGTTTACTGAGCACCTACTATGTAAAAACACAATACAGGGAGGGGAGCGTTGGGAGGGGGTGTTTGGGATCTCCCCATCCCCACAGACATCTCTGGGACAAGCCAAGAAGGAGATGCAGTGGGCAGGCCAAACTTTCCAAGCTGTTTGACCACTCCACCCTACTCAGCACTCTCTCAGCCGCTGCCTGGTGCTCAGTGCTGGGCTGGGTGAGGCTGGGGAGAGTAAGTGAGACCTGCCCTATCTGCCCCTTAGGAATCCATGGGGATCTGGCCTCAGGGTCAGAAGTGAAGGACCACAGCAACATGGGGTGACTTGATGTGGATGTTGCGATACCAGGGACATGGAAGACCAGAGGTGGCCTCAACCACTCTGGAAGGCTTCTGCCCTGGGCCCGGGGTGGCTGCTCTCTGGACAGCTTCCACCCAGCCTGCCACAAATAAATACTCACAATCCTCCCTGAAAATGGTGGTCTCCAGAGTTCCATCCTTCCCAGGGCAGACCCTGTCAGTCTTCCCAGGCTCCTCTTTCTTGCATCCTCCTCCAGCTGTCAGTCCTAGAGCTACGTCTTGGTGACATTTTGCCCTGGGTGGAGACCCTCATTTGATCCTCAAGTCTCTGAGGTGGGTATTATTTATACCTGGTTCACAGGCGAAAGCTCAAGCTGCCCCAGACTGACCTGTATACCAGTACTGTGCTAGCCTCTCCAAGTTGCTCAGGTCAGGGATGTCCTATCCGCTTCTCAATCCCTCCCCAACATGTGCACTCCCCAACGCAGACTTCATTCCCTAGGTCTAGGCTCACTGCTCCCCACCCGACCTTTTAAGCCCAGGACAGGTTCCCACCACACCCTCTGGCTGTCCTCAGGCCTTCTTCGCTGGGAACCTCCCTAAGGCAACGGCTCCTCTCCGGCCAGACAGACAGGGAAGCTCTGGCAATGCTGCTTTCTCTTGTCTGTGGATTACCTAGTATCACCTAGACGCTCCTCGGGGCAGAGGCCCTGCCTTTTTACTACTGTTTGAATAACTGACATGTACAGCTTTACAGAGCAGTGAATGTACATATTTCGTTTAGTCTTCTCATCAGCGCCCTTAGGTGGCAATTTTAAAGCTTCACTATACACACGCCATACACATGAAGAACTGGTATACGTCGTTCCCGCCCTGACGCGGAATCCAAGAAGACACAGCTTACTCCCAACAAGCGAACCGTAGGGCACCGGGTGAACTTCCGGGTAGGTGCGTCCGGCTCGAGCAGATCCAATCGGCTGTGCGGGAACAGTGCGCATGCGCACACTGACTACAATCCCCAGGATGCATCGGGACAGCAACCTCGCGGAACGCTTTTCAAACAGGCCAATCGGCAGCCCGCACCGCCCGGCGCCGCATTTAAATCCTTGGCGGAGGCGCATCTTGCGTAGTTGGCCGCTTGGGGTAAGAGGGTTGGGGTGGGGGGCGAGGCGGGTCGGCGGGCCAAGTACAGTGTGGTGCCCACTGTGCTCGAGTGGGGGAGGGGCATCGCGCCGTCTGGAGCCGAGTCTGGGCTCGAACCGGGGCCGCAGAAGGCCCCCCGCGTCTCGAGAGGAATGCAGGGATGTCGGGGGCTGCCCCAGGGCATACCAAAGACCCCCAACACTCTGGCCCGAGAGCCAAGAATTCCGTGATCTCTGTCCAACAGCGTCCAGGCTTCGCTTGGACCGGCCGCCGCTCCGCAGCACCCGGCCTTAGTGGCACTCGGTCCCTAGGGGATCCCTGCGCATGTGATCATTCCAAGGAGGCCACCGCGTCGCCTTTTCCTCTCCCTGACCTGGCCGTGGCCTTCGGCTCTCTCTGCCTCCAGTGCGTGCCGCAGTGGCTCACGCTGCTAAGCCAAGGGCTGAAGGGACCAGGGACCCTTGACTCTGACACCTACTCATCTTTTGGCCCCCTTCCTCTCTGCAGTGACTTCTTGACAGCTCTTTCCATGGAAGGAGACGAGGGCTGCGATATGCCTTCAACCAGCCAGGCAGGAGAGGTGAAGACGGATGTTCCTCAGAAGGAAGGTAAGTCTTTGCTAGTGCTGCACTGTTGTTCAGGGTCAGTAGAAATGGAGGTTGGATGGTTTCTTTGAGCAATTCTTTATTAAGTGCCCATCTTGTGCGCTGCACCTATAAAACACATGGTACTCTGTCCTCATTTTTTATTTTTTTCACCCGCATGCCGCCCGCTTACTTAAGGTTGCATCACAGCAAGTATTCTTGTAAGCTTTATTTATTTATTTATTTTAATTTTTTTTTTTTTTTTTTGAGTTGGAGTTTCACTCAGATTGGAGTGCAGTGGCACGCTCCCGGCCACCGCAGCCTCGAGCTGCTGGGCTCGGCAATCCTTCCGCCTCAGCCTTCCAAGTAACCGGAACTACAGGCACGCGCTACCACGCCCGGCTAGTTTTTTATTTATTGTAGAGATGAGGTCTCGCCAAGTTGCCCGGGCGGGTCTCAAACCCGCGGGCTCAGGCAAGCCACTGGCCTCAGCCTCCCAAAGTGCTGGGATTACAGGCTGAGCCACCGAGCCCGACCCTTGTAAGCTTTATTTAGTGCAGCATCTCCTCTGCGCAGAACAGTACCTGACACTGAGTGGGCACGCAAATGTTTGTTGATTAATTAATTTATTTATTTTGTTTGTCACTGTTTTCTCTTTGTCGCTAAGACTTGTTTAGAATCATTGGGACTGGCTAGGTGCAGTGGTTCATGGCTGTAATTCCAGCACTTTGAGAGGCAGAGGCAAGAGGATTGCCTGAGTCCAGGGGTTCGAGATCAGCCTGGGCAACTTGGTGAAACCTTGTCTCTACAATAAATCAAAAAATTAAAAAATTAACCAGGTGTGGTGGCGTACATCTATGGTTCCAGCTTCTTGGAAGGCTGAGGTGGAAGTATTGCCTGAGTCCAGCAGGTCAAGGCTACAGCGGCAGTGAGCATTACTGCCACTCCAGCCTGGGCAATAGAGTGAGACTCTGACTAAAAAAATTAAAAAATAAAAAATAATTGGGACCATGTTTGTGAGCCTGGCCTGTACCTTCCTTTCTTCTGTCCTTGTCTGGTTTGGGTATCAAGATGAGAGTACAACTTCACAAAATGAGTTATAGACCCTACCCTCTTTTCTCTTAAAGCATTTTGACGTCCTTTTATCCTTTGGTCCTCACAACACCCATGCAAGGCAAGTAAACTGGGTACCAAGCATCCTTAACGCCTCCATTTCACAGAAATAGCCCTGGAGACTTTGCAAATCATCACTGCTTTTTCATCGTAACTGGAAAGGTTTTTGCCTGTGCACCTGTCTCCTCCTGTTATCTCCTCCCTTTCAAATATGTCCCTTCTACCTGCATGCTATACCCTTCTTTCTCCTTCTTGAGGGCTTCCCCCTTCTGGCACTCTCACTTCGTTTCCTTGCTTTTTGCTTGTCCTTGATCATGTTCAGCATCCACAAACGGATAAGTTCCCTTACTTCACTTGTCTCCATATCTCCTCTGCTACCTCTGCGTTGCTGTGTTCCTCGCTCTGAGCCAAATTCAATAACTTTTTCATTTGTTCTGCTATTTTTTTCCTCTCTCAACCCCTCCTGTTCTGGCTTCTGCCCTCACCATTCCAGTCAAACTGCTTTCATTAGTCACCAGTAACTCCCTTATTGCCAAATCTCTTGTCAATTTTTTGTCCTCACTTAATCAATCAGCTTCTTAATAATATTTGACCTTTTGTCCTTCTGGAAACTTCCTTGCTTGATATCGGAGGCACTCTTGGTTTTCCTCCTGCTTCTCCAGCTGGTGTATCTTGTCTCTGCAGGCTTCTCCTCCTCCTCTGCCATTTTCTGTTCTTCCCCAAGATCTGGTCTGGGATCATCTTGCACTTTTGTCCTAGGGACTGTCAGCATCTACACAGCTTTACATTCTATCCGTTATACCGCATCTTTTTTCTGGTGCACCCATGTTTTGTCTTGAGCTCCAGACTTGTATATTTACCTGCCTATTTATAGGCATCTTGTGAATATCTCAGGCTCAGCATGCCCCCCCACCCCACCTCATTCTTTTTTTCCTTTTTAAAAGATAGAATCTCACTGTCACCCAGGCTGAAGTGTAGTGGCACTATCATGGCTCACTGCAGCCTCAGCCTCCTGAATAGCAGGAATTTCAGATGCACACCACCATGCCCCACTAATTTTTAAGTTTTCTGTAGAGACAAGGTCTCGCTATGTTGCCCAGACTGGTCTTGAACTCCTGGGCTCAAGCGATCCTCTTTCCTGGGCCTCCCAAAATGCTGGGATTCTAGGTGTGAACCATTGCACCCATAGTCTATTTTTAACCTGTTCTTTTTTATCTTTCCCATCAAAGTAATTGGCCTCTTCATTCACCTAGCTGTTCAAACTGAGAACCTCCCACTTTCAATCACCAATTACTGTCATCTCCACTTTTAGAATATATTTTGGATCCATCTTCAGATTCTTTCCATCTCCATCCAGATACTACCACCTTGGTCTCAGCCATGTTCTCTCACCTGCTCCTACTTGTCTGTTTTTCACTTTGGCCAAATGTGCATTTGTAATTTCAGTAGATAATTACCTGCTTCCTTTCTGATACACTCACTACAGAGCAGCAATGTCATCTTTTAAAAGTACATGTTAGCTTATTAAGCTCTTTTGCTTAAGTCCCTTCAAGTAGCTTCCTATCACACTTCAGGTAACATAAGAGCTCCTTGCCGTCCATGCCTCGAAAACCCTCTGGGAATCTGACCCAACCTGCATTTTTACTTCTTCCAGCCACTCTGACCTCTGACCAGTTCCTCACATACATGCTTTGGTATTTTTGTGGAGACGTCCCCACCTCCATGTTATCTCTCAGCACACTGCCTGATGCTCCCCCAGGGGCAGACACCATGTACTCCAAGTCTGCCTGGCACCCAGTGGAGAATATAGCCTGTTATGCATGCTCTCGTGTTTGGAGGATGAGTCAGCCAGCACAGGGCTACTCGGAGCCAGTGGGAGAGCCCAGAGTAGAGAACTGCTTCCTTGACTTCTGGCCCAGGGTTTTATTTTCCACACCAGATAGGTGGAAGTTTCTGGAAGTGACCTATAAAACTGACTTCTGGGTCAGGCACAGTGACTCAAGCCTGTAATCCTTGCGCTTTGGAGGCCAAGGCGAGAGGATTGCCTGAACTCAGGGGTCCAAGACCAGCCTGGGCAATAAGCTGGGCATGGTAGCGTGCACCTGTAGTTCCAGCTACTTGGAAGGCTGAGGGAGAAGAATCACCTGAGTGCACCACTGCCCTTTAGCCTGGGCGACAGAGTGAGACTCCAATTAAAAAAAAAACCAAAAAAACCTGACTTCCTAGGTTCAGACATGTCAAAAGTGAAACATCTCTCTCTCATCTTTGTCCCTTAGTTACCTAGTTGCATCCTCCATGGCATCGGTGTCATCAGTCTCTTGGGTTCCTTCCAGATACAATTTGTCTTTCCCATTTTCATATAACATATAGAATCCTGTCCTATATCTTGCATTTTTCACTTAATTTATCTTGATTATTATTGTGTATCAACATATGAAGAGCGTTATTTTTCTTTTTTGTACCTATGTTGTGCTTCATCTTGGAGAGGTAATATAATTTATTTCATCTGCTGTGGATGAACATTTAGTTTGTGCCTAGTGTCTTGCTGTTACAGATAATGATGCAATAGATAACTGCACACCACATCATTTTACACATCTGTCAAAGTAGACTTGTTGGGTTGAAGGGTATGTGCATTTCTCATTTTGATAGGTACTGCTAGGTTACTCTCTACAGAGCTATAATAATTTACACCTTCCCCAACAGTGTAGGAATCGTCCCCTTTCCCACAGCTTTGCCTACAGTTTATAAAACTTTGATTTTTGCCAATTTGATAGGTGAAAAGTAGAATCTCAGGGTAAAAGTATTTTTTTCCTTTTTATTTTTGAAAGACGCTGAACTTCTTGCCATATACTTAAGAACATTTTATTTTCTGCGAATTGTCTGTGTTCATATTCTTTTTTTATCTTTCTATTAGGTTGTTAGTTGTTTTCTTAGCAATTTGTAGGTGCACTTCATAAATTAGTCCTTTGTGAAATGAGTTGCAAATATTCTTTCTCCCACTCTTGTTTAACTTTGCTCGTTGTGATTTTTTGCCATGCAGAGATGTAACAAATTTTTATATATTTGAAGTTCAGTCTTTTATATCTTCCATTTTAGTGTCATAGTTAGAACCCTATACTCCCAAATTATAAAACAATTTCTTCATGGTTTCTTCTTTTTCCTTTAGGGTTTCATTTTTTTCAGTTAAGTTTTTGATTTATTTGACATTTTTCCTGGTATGGTATGAGGGATAGATCCAAATTTTTTTTTTTCCAAACGAGTACATAGTTTATCTTAATACCATTTGCTCACCTTCCTTTTTTATTTGATATTTTACTTTTATGATATACTAAGTTTTCTTTATACCCAATTTGCATATTTCTTGTTAGGTTTATTTATAGGTATTTTGCATTTTTTGTTCTTACTGTGAATGAAGTCTTTTCTTCCATTATGTCTTCTAACTGTTCTTTGTAGATGTGAAAGCTGTTGATTACTGTGAAATGATTTTGTCCTCAGCCATATTATTTTTTCCTTTTACTGTTTATAATAGTTTTCAATTGATTTTCTTGATTTTTGTCTTGTGTCCATAATCATGGCATCCGTGTACCACGATAATTTTACCTCCACATTCCTTCATTTGTCTAATTACGTTGGTTAATGCATCCAGAACAGTGTTAAGAATTGATGCTTGCAAACATCACTGCCACATGCCCAGTTTTAGTGAAATTTCTCTATAGTTTTGCACTAAGACTGATACTAGCTTATGGGTTAGTTTACATGTAAATGGTAGTCATTGGTGCTGTTCGTTAGACTTGCTCTGTTTTTTTCTTCTTCTGGGTATGTGATAGAATTGTACTTCCTGTCCACTTGAAGTTAGGTTTGATTCAGGTGATTCACTTGGCCAATGAAATGGGAATGTTGTAATGTGTGTTATTTATGGTATAAGCCTTTAAGAACCACTGTGGAACTTGCTCTTTTTCCTTCTTCCTGCCTTGGAGAGACCTTCATGTTCCTATTGATGGAGCCTCCATCAGTCTGGATTCTGGAGCAAGGCATTCAGGGAGCAGGGCCCCAGCCTAGCCTCAGCAGACATATAGTTTGAGTGAGAAATATATGTTTGTTATTTTAAGCCACTTAAGCTTAGAGCATTTATTACTTCAGCACAAATTAGCCTAACTGATGAGATATATTTTCTCCTGTCTTTGGAAGGAATACTTCTGATGTTATCCCATCGAACCTAATATATTGGCTTTTGGGTGGAGATGGATATTTCCTTATATGTTAAAATATATCTATTATTTTATTAAGAACCTTTAAAATCAAGAAAGTATGTTGTATTTTATCATTTGCCTCTTCAACATATATGGAGGCAATCATATGGTTTTCTCCTTAGGTCTAGTAATATAATGATTATATTACTAGATTGTGTGAAATTAAACCATTTTACAGTCCTGAAATGAAATCAACTCATTTTATATATATATATATATATATATATATTTTTTTTTTTTTTATAGTGTGGCTGCATACTCCTTGCTAATATTTCTGTTTAGCATTTTATGTTGATATAAGTGAGGCTGATCTGTAGCTTTCCTTATTGAACATACTATATAGGTTTTTGGTATTATGCTTGCTCCATAGAAGTAGGCTGGAAAATTTATTTTTTTCTATCCTCTGGAGCAATGTAAATAGTATTAGAATTATTTGTTCTTTAAAGATTTGATAGAATGATCCTGTGAACTAGCTTGGAATTGTGCTTTTTTTTTTTGAAGAGGATAGCTCTTTAATAAATTTTTCCAGTTATTTTATGATTATTGAGCTATTAATAGTTTTTTCCTCTTTTAGAGTCAGTTTTTTTTTTTTTTTTTTTTTTTTTTTTTTTTAGTTAGGGTCCCACTCTGTCACCCAGGCTGGAGTGCAGTGGCATAATCATGGCTCATCACAGCCTTAACCTCATTCATGGCTCATCACAGCCTCAACCTCCTGGGCTCCAGCTATCCCTCCACCTCAACCTCCCAAGTAGCTGGGATTACAGGCACACACAACCACACCCGACTAATTTTTTAATTTTTTTGTAGAGACGAAGTCTCGCTATGTTACCTAGGCTGGTCCTGAACTCCTGGGCACAAGCAATCCTCCTGTCTCAGCCTCCAAAAATACTGAGATTATAGGCATGAGCCACTGTGCCCAGCCTGGAATCAGTTTTATAAATAAATAAATCTAGATAATTTAAATACAAAAAATAAAGTATATTTGCCTAGAATATTTTCCATTTCAGCCAAGTTCTTAGATTTTTGTGCCAAGAGTTGAGCAAACTAGCTTATGAATCCTCTAATTTCCTCTCTGTGTGGTTATTTTTCTTTTATTTCTTTTGTGTATTTGTGCTTTCTACTTTTTTCTTGATTAGATAATTAGGACTATTTAATTGATTAATTAGGACCTAATTAGAATATTAGTATATTTTCAAATTTTGTGATTTTGGTAAGCATGCTGCATTTTTTTTTTTTTTTTTTTTTTTTTTTTTGAGTTGGAGTCTCACTCTGTCGCCCAGACTAGAGTGCAGTGGCCGCACCGCAGCCTCTACCTGCTGGGCTCCAGCGATCCTTCTGCCTCAGCCTTCTAAGTAGCTGGAACTACAGGTGCGCGCTACCACGTCCAGCTAATTTTTTGATTTATTGTAGAGATGAGGTCTCGCCAAGTTGCCCAGGCAGGTCTCGAACCCGCGGGCTCAGGCAAACCACTCACCTCAGTCTCCCAAAGTGCTGGGATTATAGGCTGAGCCACCAAGCCCGGCTTGTATGCTGCATTATTGATTAAGATAAAAAAGATATGATTTGTTAGAATGCTATATAAACTTTACAGTATCGGAATATCTGTCCAGTGCATTTTGATAAATATTTGCTAAGTGTCCAGGTCCTTAGCTGAACATAGAAGGGTTTGGGGATAGTGTTAGACATGTGTTGTCTTAGAGGAGCTTACAGTCTAGTTGGGGTATAGAAGGGTCAAGAGGCATTTACAGAGGCTAGCGTGGTGGTAGGGGTCAGGTCCAGGTGCTATGAGGGCCAGGGGGGAGGTAGAGGAGGGAACAATTGTTCCTGCAGAGGTACCTCCAAACCCAGAGCCAGTGGTCTGTTTTAGAGGGAGCTGGGCAAATTGACAGGACTGTGTTGGCTGTGATAGAAATATGGATGGTGTGGGGGTACAGAGAACATTTTATCTAGGGGCTCAGAAAGGACTCCAAGGAGTGAGGTGGTCGGTGAGTACTTAGTGAGTCCCTACCATGCATTTGAGTAATATTTAAATTCATTGTTGAAAGATGAGTAAACGTTTTGTAGCTTGTAAGAGGAGAATTTAATTCTAGGGGAGCTGAGGCAGGTGGTCTTTTGAAAACGTTCTATACCTGAAAATGGCTTATGTCTTCTTGAAAAGCTAGCTGAATGATTCAGTGAATGCATTTTGGATTATATATTAAAAGTAAGGACTTAGCTTTTGGGCTGGCTTAGTATGCACAGAATGGGTGATGCGATTTTTAAAAAGAAAGTGGGAAAAAATAATGTAACTTAGTGCTGCCTATAAAATACTAAATTAACATAATGAGAGATTGCACTTTTGGGGATGAACTTTCACAATAATTTTGATAGCTATAGAGATTGGTAATATTTTTCTCTTTATCAGCCTCAGCCCTAAAATAACAGTGGACTTTTTCCCCCCCAGACATTCTTCTTTTGGCCGATGAAAAATTTGATTTTGATCTTTCACTGTCTTCTTCAAGGTAAACAAATGAGTTTTCTTCCTGTGCCTTAGGCACAACCATATTCACTTAAGTCTTTTATTTAAATGCCATAGTTATTAATTATTAACAATCATTTTCTTTAAAAATAGTGCCAATGAAGATGATGAAGTCTTTTTTGGACCTTGTGGACATAGAGAAAGATGTATTGCTGCTAGTTTAGAATCAAATAATCGAATTCCTGACCCACCTCCTTTGCCAGCATCTGACAGTCACTTTACGTGGAGCCCTCTCACTGGGGAGAAGTTTGTGGAAGTGTATAAAGAAGCTCACTTATTGGCTTTACAGATAGAAAATAATAGCAGAAGCAAGGCGGCCCAAGATGCCAAGCCCAAAGACCCTTGGAGCCAGGATGTGGAAAGATTCATACAGGAATCAAAATTAAAAATAAACCTCTTTGAGAAAGAAAAGGAAATGAAGAAAAGTCCCAAGTCACTGAAAAGGGAGACGTACTGCCTGGCAGACAGCCCTTTGATGGGGCCACCCTTGGGCAAGCCTCCGCTCCCGGACTCCTCCCCTGCCCTGCCAAGCTCTCCTGCCCAGGCTGCCCTCACCCAGATGCAGGGACCACCACACTCTGCTCGTCCTTTGTCAGGGAGATCAAGCTCTGCTCACCCTTTGAATCAGGCAGCACTTCAGAAAAAGTTCACCAACAAATTGCAGCTGCCCCGAGCTTCAGCTGTTAGAGGAAGAAACATCCACATGGCCATGGAGAAGGTAGACAAAACCAGGCACCAGAGCACCTGGGGCACCAGACGCTCCCTGCTTCTCAGCCCTCCTGGTTTATGCCCTGTCGTTGGGGGAGAGACCTGGAAGTGTCGATGCTCTGAGAACTCAGAAGCACATAAAAGCAAAGTCCAGGAAAAGCAGTCACTGATAGGGAGCTAGTTTTGGAGTGGCTTAGATAAGGCTGCGATCACTTAAAAATACCTCCTTCTAAGTTCTGTTTGAAATTGTTCCTTTTGTTTTGTTGTAGTGCTGGATATACCACCCATCAGGGATTTCATCTGCTTTAACGAGCAACCTCTCCCAAAAATTCCTCCTCCTCCAGGATAGCTTCTAGTCTTTCTTCTTGCCTGTGACTTAGTTTATATTGCTTTTCTCCCCAGCATTAAGTGGAAGTGAGCTGTCTTGGTAGTTGACAGGGTGCCTTTGGGTACGGTTAACCAACCCTGGGAAACTAAGAGTCTTGGAGCCTTGGAGGGTAGGAGAAGGATGAATGTCAGATCATGGCTTGCTGCCATGTTTGCCTGATCTGGTTCTTGCTCGGGGGACAGGAGGCTCAGGAGACAGAAGGTAGGGCAGGGTTGGGGGAGCCTGCCCTGCAGCCCTTCCCAGCTCTGGTAGCAGTTACAGAGGAATGACACTTTGTGGGATTTAGGTGGTTTAGCTAAATGCAAAATGCCCAGCAAGGGCCTTGACCTTGCTCTTTCCTCTCTGCAAGCCCACTTGCTGAACTACATGACCCCTTATGATGAAGGCACAGAACTGCAGCTAGCTGCAAGTACACTTGCTCTCCTGAATAACTGGGGCCTATCCCTTTGGTCACACAAACTCCTTTGTCTGGAGACCGTTTAGCATGTAAATTTCTTCTTTTCTTCCTAAAGAGACAAGGTCTTGCTGTTGCCTAGGCTGGAGTTCATTGGCATGATCACAGTTTACTGCAGCATCAAACTCCTGGGCTCAAGCAATCCTGCTTCAGCCTCCTGAGTAGCGGGGGCTGTATACAGGCACATGCCACCACACCTGGCTAATTTTTTATTTTTTTTGTAGACATGGGATCTTGTTATGTTGTCCAGGCTGGTCTCGAACTCCTGGCTTCAAGCCATCCTTTCTCCTCAGTCCCCCAAAACAGTGGGATTACAGGCATAAGCCACCATGCCTGGCCAGAATGTAAATTTCTAAAGTAATGTTTCTAGAATGAGAGTGGAATGGGTCTTGCTGTGTGTAGCACAGGTGGATTTGGGACAGATCTTGTGCATGCAGCTTGTGTGGTCTCAGGGCAGAGAGGTCTTGGTGTAATTTGGGCCATTCTGGATCCATTGAAGTTATCTCCTTTGATTTCTTGGTTTCTGGGTCCAGAGCCCTGGTTCTTAGTGAGTGAGGCATTGTCTGTACAGCTGGGCTACATGCCACCTCACTTGATAAACCCCTACCATTTCTTGCCTGCTTCTCTGGGAAAATTCATTCATTTCTAGAGTGACTGATAGCACATGTGAAGATGTCATTAGAAATGACTGAATCACTTGATTGAAATACCTACTTTATTTTATTTATTTATTTATTTATTTTTTTGAGTTGGAGTCTCACTCTGTCGCCCAGACTGGAGTGCAGTGGCCGCTCCCAGCCACTGCAGCCTCAACCTGCTGGGCTCCGGCGATCCTTCCGCCTCAGCCTTCCAAGTAGCCGGAATTACAGGCATGCGCTACCACACCCGGCTGATTTTTTGATTTATTGTAGAGATGAGGTCTCGCTGCCCAGGCGGGTCTCGAACCCGCGGGCTCAGGCAATCCACTCACCTCAGCCTCTCAAAGGCACGGGATTACAGGCTGAGCCACCGAGCCCAGCTGTAACACCTACTTTAAAATGTCCTTTAAAGACAACTGCTAGGATGACTATAAGAAGAAAAACACAGGAATAACAAGTGTTGGTGAGGATGTGGAAAAACTGGAAGGGTCATATACTGCTAGTGGGAAAGTAAAATGGTGCAACCTCTGTAAAAAGCAGTTTGGCAGTTCCTCAGAAAGTTAAATGTAGAGTTATCATAGGGCCCAGTAGTTATCCTTGGCATACACCTGAGAGAATTGAGAACATGTCCATGGGAAAACCTAAGCAGAAATTTCAAAGCAGTATTATTCATAATAGCCAAAAAGTAGAACCAACCCAGATGCCCATCAACTGATGAATGGATAAATAAAATGTGGTCTATCCAGACAATGGAATATTTTGAGCAGTAAAAAGAAATGCAGTACTGATAAGTGCTTGACACGGATAACCCTTGGAAACTTGCTCAGTTAAAGAAACCAGACACAAGGTCACATGTTGTATGACTCCATGTATTTGGCGTGACCACGCTGGGCAGATTATAGAGACAGAGTAGTTGTGTGCTTGCCTAGGCTGGGTTGGCTGAAATAATGGGAAATGACTGCTAATGAGTACAGGTTTCTTTCAGGGCACAAAAATGTTTTAAAACTAGCTTGTGATGGTTGCACAACAGCAGATATACTAAAAAAACACTGAAGTGCACACTTGAAAAGAGTAAGCTTAATGTGTGAAGTATATCTCAGCTTTTTAAAATGATATAAAAGAAATCGCTGCATCTTGATGACGAACTTCTGTTGCTATTAACTTCTTAACTATCCTGTTATAAGGGTGTTAGTTATGTAAGCACGGATTAGTTCCATGAGTGCCCTTGTCCCTAAATATGTCAGGAATTTATTCTTTGTTGGACTCTGCTGGCCAAAGAAAATGGCTTTCACTACTAGACCAGGAAGATTTATTGCAATTGAAAAGCCTCCCTGGTAAGGGATTGCCATTTAATGAAGGAGCCTTTCTGTACTGCATTTTAAAATTTGCGTAACTGGACCCAGTTTCCTCATTATCATTCTTAAATAAGGATTCTGACTGAGGAATAGCTTTAGAGGATCACTTTCCAATTAATGACCTGTCTTGATATTATTTTACACTGTTTTTAATGAGGAAGCAAAATCCATCATCATTTTTGTCCATAGTGATTTGGTAGAGGAAGTGAACTGCTCTATTCCCTTCCATCTAGTTGATGAATTGAGGAACATGTGTGGCATTTGGGAAGATAGATGGTGACCGGGCTTGCTCTAAATTGGAGCCACAGTATTTCTATCCACTGTTAAAGACTAGACAGTTCTCACAGTTCAAATTAAATTTTTTCAGCCCAAGAAAGAGATACCAGCTAGTCCTTCCAGGGTGAAAATCCTAACTGAAAAGGAATCCCATAAGGACGTGCTCCCTGATAAACCTGTTCTGGATGCTGCCAGTGTGCCAGCCACGGGAAGCCATTTGGTCCAAGGGAAGCGATCGCTCCCTGTTCTAAATAAGGTTAGTCTGCTGGGGCTGTGACTTGTGACTTATGGGATTAAGGAGGCAACTCTGTGGGTAAGTAATGTGTTTTTAGGAAACAAGTTAGGAAAATCAAAAATACAGCTTGTGAGAGGCAGCTTGGCAAATATAGGCCTGGTAGAGTATATTGGGGGCTGGCCTCTCTCTCGGTAGTTGTATGGGGTGAGAAAAGTCAACCTCTGAGCATTAGCTAGTAAGCAGGATGCTCCCTGCTTTCCTCATGGGTCTTTGCATGAATGACATGGGATGTTGATGTCTTGAAAACTGCAGCTCCTCATAGGCATGAAGACTTCCAACCACATCTTCGCCATTTATCTTTTGGCATACAAACTGAGCACTGTAGGAATCACAGTCCTTGCTAAAATTGCCAAAGCTGGAACCTATAGCCACTGATGCAAATCTGCATTTTGGCCAGCTCCCCCACATGTTCCTCATGCAGGGGTGATTTGAAGAAGTGTAGTTTGACTTTTTTTCCTTCTTTAAATTCAAGATAGTCATTATTAAATTATTAAAAATTATTTAAAACTTCTCTTTTTGCTGACATCAGTAATGGGTAGATAATGAGATCTTTGCTGATTCTGTTTTTTCACACTTTGTCTCAGTTGGGGCCGAAGAAGACCCTGTTAAGACCACCTGGCTCTACCAGCAGTCTCACAAGGAAACCCTCCTCCTCAGGGTCTGTTTCAAAGGGAGCATCCACTGTTTGTGTGTCCCCAGCAGAAGGCAAAGGTGAGGCAGCTGAAGTTGTGCTCAGATCCACATCTAACCAGGCAACACCTCGAACACTGCCCAGTCCTTGAAGACTGTTTTTATAGAATCACTCGACTCAGCAGGACATCCTGGAGGGCTTGCTCTGTGCTATGGGCTAGACTGGACTCCAGGCAGGGAAGAGACTTTCGCTGTCTTTGCTCTCGGCTGTGTGCCTCCTGTGAGGAGGGGCACACTCAGATGTGTGGCTTCAGTCTAGGGGGTACGCACATCATACTGTGTGCGTATCCAGTGCCTGAGAACACAGAGGGACGCTGGGGCCAGCCTCATGTTAATGACATCAGATGCAGGTTTTTTAAAATAGCACTGCTCCAGATAATTCAGGGCAGATGACCCAGTAACTCCTGGATGTTGTTTAAATCCCCACTCCCAAACCTGTTTAAATTCAGTCTACGTGTCACCCTTACCAAGCCAAGGCTGCCATCTGGTGGTAAGGGAAGAAACCCTAGAAGGCTATTGGGAAAGACCTTTTGCATTTCTGCCCTTTATAACCAAATCCCCTTCAACTTGTATTTGCTGTGTAGTCTTTGACAATAGTCCAGCAGGGCAGCATGGTGTGGATTTTGTTCACAAAATGCGAAAAGTATGCACTCTTAAATCAGACTGATCTGATCTGGGATTCTGACTCTGCCACTTTGTGGTTCAATTTGTGTCCCTATCTTTACTAACTGAGGTGATGACAGCTGCCTCGTGTGTTCTTGCTGAGCACCTGGCACATGTATGTGTTCAATAAGTGGCCACTCTGTCTTGTTACTGTAGGTGTTGCGAGGTGTGTTGCTGTATTGATTCAGTGCATCAGCACCCCTTTTGTTCCTATTTTGTGTTCCCGTCTCTGGTAAAGGCTGAGACAGAAGTTGAGGTGTCCTCTGGTGTATGTATATTTCTTTATTGTACATAGCAGAATCACTAGGATGAGATAAAATCGTGTTTGGGGTGGAACTTTGTAAAACTATTATGAACTGTACAAATATAAGTTGTGGCATTAGTTATTCTCTTAAAGTTTTTCTTTAAGAATCTATTGCCAAATTGACTGGGTATATTGGTAACTGAGTATTTGTCACCCTTGTTTGTCTGTTATTCTATTTTAAATTAATATGACCCACCTCGTAATTTAAAGGAATCAACCAGTAACAAACGATTGCATCTTCTTTCCCTGTTCTCCGCCCACTTGTCTGGTGAGGCATGTAACTGGACTATCCACTTCCATCTGCTCAATTGGGAAAGATTTCTGCTGCCAACATTATCAATGAAGATGGATGAGCTTGAATTTATGTATGCTTATGTACATCTTGATGATCATGTTGAGAATAAATACCTTAGGATATACTCAGTTAAGCTGCAAGCCACCTAGGTTGTCTTGTATTTGGTGATATTGCCTGATGGGCCTACAGAATGTTGTTCATATGTCATATGTTTAAGGTAGTTATGATAAAGATAGCATAGCTTGTGTGTGTTTGTTAAATGACTTCATAGTTTAAAAATCATGTGGGCTTGAGTGATAACCAGATTTTATATGTATCCTTTTCCAGCTAAATCAAGTGAATTTTCAAGTATTCCTGCAAGCAATTCCCGGCCACTGTCAAAAATCAGCAAATCAGGCAGAACGGGACCCGCCACGCAGCGGCAGTCTCTGCCAGCAGGCCCTGTGGGTGCATCCTGCAAGCAAGCCAAGTGGGCTGATACTGCTGAGCTGACAGCCGAGCCACCCACGGCACCCCCAGCAGCTTCTCCCACCCAACCCCACACTCCGGAAAGTGGAGGCCAGAGGCTGAACTCTAATTCCGTTTTGTCAGAATCTTCTCAATTGAATAAGACTAGAAGCATAAGAAGGCGAGATTCCTATCTAAATTCCAAGACAAAAATTATGCCTACATCTCCAAGTCAATTTAAAATTCCTAAGTTTTCTATTGGTGAGTAATAGATAAATTTTAATGTTTTTAAAATATTAAAGTTTTAAAAAATTGTCTGTTGCAGCTATGGTGGTTTCTTAGCTTTTTTTACTCAGACAGCACTTTCAAGTTGTATCCCACTGTCTTCTCCTGTGTTGTTTTGCACGAGAGAACCTCATTGGAGGTTCTCATATTCATTCCCTGTATGTGATGTGCCATTACACTTTGGCTGTTTTTAAGGTTTTCTCTTTGTTAGGTTCAGCCACTTGATTATTATGTGTTTTGATGTGGCTTTCTTTGTGTTTATCGTGCTTGGGATTTCTTGAGCTTTTTGATCTATGGATTGATAGTTTTCATCAAATTTGGAAAAACTTGGCCATTATTTCTCCAGATATTTTTTCCTGTTTTCTGGGACTATTCAGACCTCTTGACATTGTCTCATGGGTCAGTGAAGCTCTGTTCTTTTTTAAATGTCAACCTTTTTTTCTTGTGCTTTGGTTTGGTCAGTTTCTATTGTCATTTCTTCAGATTCACATACCTTTTCTTCTAGGTGTTTAATCGACTGTTAAACCCACCTAGTTAATTTTTTATTTCTAGCATTATAGTTTTCCTGTATTTTTCCTCCTGGTTTTCTCTAAATCCTTGAATATATTTATAATGGTTTTAAAATCTGTTTCTTTGAATTCTATCTTCCCAGTCATTTTGGGGTTTGTTTCTATTGACTAATTTTGTTTCCTGGTTTGGTCACATTTTCCTGCTTCTTTACATGTTTAATAACTTTATTGGCTGCTGGATATTGTTACTTTGACATTTTTGTATGTCTGGATTTTGTTGTCTTTCTTCGAGGAGTTGAGTTTGGTTGGGTAGGCAGCTAAATTGCAGATCAATCTGATCCTTTCAAGACTTCTTTTTAAGTTTTGAAGAGGCAAGTCTACACTAACCTTTATCCTTACGATAGGTTAGCCCTCCTACTAACAGGTGGCCTTTCTGAGGTTTTTACTGAATACACTGTGTGCTCCATGAGGTCTCTCTACTCTGGCTATTGAAAGGGGTATGATTCTCAGCCCTGTGAGCTCTGGTCATTATTCCCTAGCTGTTGCTCTTGTCTCAGCCTTAAGGATCTGCTCTGCACTGGTGCGCTGATTAATACTCAGCGCTGATTGACACTTCTCTCAGATCCCTAAAGCTTTTTCTCCCCATGTAGCTCCCTCTCCTCTAGTCTCTGGCCCTCATATTCCAGCTACTTCAGCCTCCTGAACTCTAGCCACTGTCTCCAGTCAGTGAGACTGCTGTGCTCTGCTTGGGTCCCGCCTGCCTGCCCTAGCAGAAAGCCTGGTGTGGTGTTAGAAAACCTGGATGGGTGTTAGATTCAGCAGATGTATCTAACAAATTTGTGCAATGCAGAAAGTTGCACAGAGCCGGCTTCAGGTGAGAGGATTGTTCTGGCCTCTTCTGTCCTATAGATCTACGTTGTAGGTGACTTGAATATTTTCAAGTTACTGGCATTGTTGGCCAGCACAGATGAACTTTTGCTTCCAAAAACCCCATTTTGAGTTTCTGTGTGTAAGAATGAGCTGCTGCATGTCTTTTTTGTACTGACGTGTTTTTCATGGACAAAGGGTGTAATGATAAGACAGATCCTGCTCTCATAGAATTTACATTTAATAGGAAAAAACATGAAAAGTTATCAGATAAGTATGCCTCCAGATCATAAGTACAATTAAGAGACTAAAAGAGGGTGGCATCATGTAGGACTGGTAGGTGCTGGGGAGGGATTTAGATAGAGTAGTTCCTTCAGCTAAGGTGGTCAGGTGATGATACTGGGCTGAGATCTGAACTGCGAGAATGAAGCAGCCATTAGAAAAGCCAGAGGGAGAACGTTTCAGGCAGAGAGGATGGCAAGTGCAGAGGTATCAAGGCAGAAAGATGCTCAGCAAGTTCTGGGAACAGAACGAAGCCTAGAGTGGTAGGAATATAGTTACAGTGGCTGGGGTTTGATTCTCCCACAAGCCCCAAATCACAATGTTTTTAATCAAGATAGATGTTTACTTTCCTCTCACATGGAAATCACAGTAGACCCTCCAGAGCTGGTAGGCACTCCTTGGTGTTATGGACCCAGGCTTTTTCCATCTTGTTTTGCCATGATTAGTTCCTCTTCCTCATGATCTAGTATGGCTGCACCAGCTCTAACCCTCATACCTACCAGCTGGAAGATTGACTAGGTAAAAAAGAGCAAAGCCCTACCTTTCAAGGACACTTACTGAAAGTTGTCCTGTCACTCCATTTATGTCCCCTCCATCACACACTTCCCTGCGCAGGATGCTAGGGTGCATTGCCTTTGTTCTGCACCCAGCTAACATTTCTTACTGGAAAGAAGTGGAAAGTCACTGTTGAACAAAAACTAGCAACCTCAGCCAGGTTAGTGAACAAAGAAAAAATAAAACAGAGATGAAGACAAAGAGGCAGCCCAAGGCCAGCTCATGGAGCAGTTCGTGACCATATAGTAGACGTCTGAGTGCAGGAGGAGGTATGTGCAAGGGCTACAAGCTGAGTGACATGACCTTCCACTGAGGAAGAACATACTCTGTGGGCAGGAGTGAGGCAGGCAGGGCCAAGCAGGTCTCACTTTGGCTGTGAGAGATTAGGCTGGCAGTGGGAAAGAAGGCCAGGGGTGCTGCTGTGTGCCTGACATTCTGGTAGGTTAGGGTACCACGTAGCAGTGTGGAGAGGGACTCAAGTGACCCTGAGGTTCTGGCAAGAAGACCTGGGTGCTGCCTGTCATGTGATGGGAGGGTCAGAAATGGGCAGACCCCACAGTCTCACCTGAGAGGTGGTAAGTATGAAGGCTGCATAGGCTGCAGTTGTGTAGAACAGGCAGCTGAGCTCAGAGAAGTCACAGTTGGAGATCCAAGTTTAGGTGTCAGCATCACAGAGCTGAGTTGTTTGCAGAAGTAGGAGCTATAATGCACTGAATTATCGGCAGCACCTCATGGCCAGGTCATGTGGAGGGGTGTTCAGTAGTGTTTACTTCCTCTCTGTCCAATGCTGCAAGCTTCAACATGCCTCTGCCCTGTTTCTTCTGACCACATTTGCCAGCTGCTGGCTGGTCCTCCTGGCTGTCGGGTTGCTTGATGCCACAATTTATGATTCTGCTAATCCCAATTGCTTCCTGGCTTTTCCCTCCATTGCCCAGACTGTTCTTGATGGCTCCTCAGCATCAACCTTCAGCAGGCTGTTCCTCCTTTCTCCACAACACCAGGGACAGGGTTGCCCCTTGCACCATCTGTCATTCTTCATGAGTCAAAACTGGTTCCACAAACTCGCACTGGCTGACAGAGAGGCCACAGGGGAGCGGCCACACAGTTGGGAACACACAGCTGTGGGAACCACATGGTGGCAGCCTTGTGTTTTGGCTGAGACCACCAGTGGTATGTGTGTCTGCTTGTTGGCAGTGATGCTAGCTGTCACTGCGGAGGAGGGGCTGAAGGCACTCAGAGCAGAGGGGCAACGTGAGCAGAACCCTGTCATGGAGCCTTCCGTATGTGCATGTTCTTAAAGTAGTCCCAAGACAAGCAGCATTATTTGTAAAATAGTCCAGTGACAAATAGTATTACTTCTTGTGAGTCCATACTGTCCAGGGTCACACAAAGGATTGAGATTCATAATGACTCTGGGCTTGGCCTCTGCAGTGTCAGGAGCTACAGTAGAGCAACACCTTCCATGTTTGGGGGATCAGTGTCAGTCTAGGAGTATGCTGACACTAAGCCTTGGTCATTTGTGCGGGTCTAGTAAAGATACCTTTTTTGTGTTAAATTCCCATGCCATTTTGGAAACTGCTCCTCCCAGATGGGGGAGGGAGAAAACAGTAAAGAGGAAGAGGGGAGTCCATGAGAGGGACTCCAGCATGGGAGGTGGTAAGCATAAGGGAGGCCCCACTTGCTTTGACACTGACTGGGAATGACCAGCTCAAGTCTCAGAGACCTCTGTGAACAGCAGGATCAGTGACTTGAGGGCTGTAACCACATGGAGAATGCTCCCAAAGACCAAGGTTATGGGACGATTTAATGACATATTCTGCCCACCCCAAAAAATAAAAGAAACACACTCAAAATGGAAGTGGGGAAAGGTGGGAGCACGTGACTCAGCTATGTGTGCATCTGCAGTGCTGGTGAAACACCCAGGGCCTGGTGAATGGACCGACGGGCAGGTGGGGAGGTGTGAGGGAATGAGGCCTTTAACTTAGCAGAAGTAGCAGTTTGAGTATGTGATTTAGAAATTAGAAGGTAGGAACTCCAAGAAACCACCAAAAGTTGTAAGGGAGCAGGGTGGGTGCAGCAGGAGACTTGTTTTGTCTCATAACAAAGTCCACATGAATCACTTTAATAGAGGTGATTTTTAAAAGAACAGGAGAGGGGCAGCGGAGACAGGCAGTGCAGGCAGCTCTCTTGAAGAGATTTGGCTTTGAAGGCAGGGCTGTGGGACAGTTGCTTGGCGGGGGCAGAAGGGCAGGTGTAGATTCATTAAGATGGGAGATATGCCTGCAGGGGCAGCAGCCTGGATCCTTGGGCGGCCTCCTGGGAGCACCTGCCAAGAAGGGGTCTCGGCTCTAGACCCTGCCCTTCCCCCAGTACTGGGGCAAGGAGCCCTGGGAATAGCCTCTTTCCTGTGGCTTTCAAGATATAGCAATATGTTGCAAGGGGTCCTGGCACAGGAAGCTTTGAGGCCCTAAAGCACATGTGGCTGACACTTAAGTGTATGTTGAGAAATGCTTCCCTGTGAGCTGGTTCACATGGAACCAGGTTGTGAGGGGTACGGTGGTGAGACTGGACATCTGAGATCTGTGCCGGGCTTTGGCTTGGTGACTCTGTGGAATCCCTTGCCCTCAGAGCCTGCTTTTTGTTGCCTTGTGAATATCAGATGAGATCATAAACGTGGAAGTGCTTTGTCAACTAAAACAGCACAAAAATACTGTAATGTGTTATTATCACCCCAGTAATGTCATGGTTCAGGAAAACTAAGGCATTTATGGGCTTTGCTGGGTTTCTTGGATTTCTAACCACATTACAGTATCATTTCTATGGGCAGAAATGTGTCATTTCTAGTGTGTGCAGGTGGCTGACAAGTAGGCTTCGCCTCACACAAGCCTCTCAAAGTCGTGCTTGTGCCTGTGGGGATCAGCAGCCAGCATAGAGAGAGCAGTGAGGACAGCTCTTTGTCCTGCGTTCATCGGTCAGGCCAGAATCCTTGCCTTGGCTGAGGTCCCTGGTAGGAGAAGAGTGCCTTTCACATGCCTGCCTCTGGTAGGTTTGCCCTGTGCTGACTCGCCAGACCTAGTGCCATCTTCACCATAAGGTGGGACAATGGAGACATTTAGAGGAGAGCTGCCCATTTGGTGAAGGTCCCCACACAGTAGATTTCCCACATGATCGTCCTGACTGACTGTACTCTTCCTCTCTTATCGCAGGTGAATCCCCAGACAGCACAACACCAAGGCTTTCACGGGCACAAAGGCCACAGTCGTGCACGTCAGTTGGCAGGTAATTGACATTGGTCAGCTTTCTTTCTTTTTACTGCTGTAAGAATGACTGAAGTGTCTGCCAACTTCTTTAAGGGCCTCCTCAAGCATGTGGTGACCCCACAGCCTGGCCTGTGTGTCAGTCTCTTGGGTACAGACTGAGCTCCTGAGGTGTGCAGGCCTTTTTTACAACTATCACAGACTTAAGACATTCAACCTCTGCACAGCACAGTACAGAAATTCTCAGCCCTAGGGTGGTGTGGTTGTCTTACCAGGATGTACAACACAAATTCCTTCAGCACTCTTACCTCCGTGCCCACCCCAGAGGTTCTGATTCAGTTGGTCTGGGGTGGAGCTCAGCATCTGGATTTTCCAAAGCTCCCAGGCATCTGATCTGTGCCATGGTTAAAGACCACTGGTGTGTAACAGTTATTCAGGCTTGGGTTGAATCCCAGCTCCACTACTTCCTGGTCTATGATCTAGTGCAAGTTCCTGAACATACTGATTTTGTCTCATCTGTCAATTGGAGCAGCCCCATGCTCAGCATAGCAGATACTACAAACTGTAAGAAAATGCACACATGTATAACTGTGTGCCACCTAGACTGGTGCAGGAATTGCTTGAATGTCCACCCCCTCATTGTCCCTCTATTCTGTGCTTATTGCCCCTCACTGAGGCTGAGTCCCAGTGCAGTGTTGTATGCCTGGGCACAGCACAGGAGAGCTCGCAAAAGCACTCCCTAGAATGTCTGCACCTCAAAGTCTCCTACATGGAGCTGGAGTGGAGGCAGCAGGAACCAATAGATTAGCATGGGGTCCTAATGCCAGCATGTGGCCAGGAAAGGGCACTGCTCTGGACCTTGCTGGGCGGGGTGGGCAGAATAAGCCTGGCTAAGACACCGGAGAGGGTGCTACTGGCTCTGCCACAGACAAGCCTGGTGCCATCTGCAAGTCTTTTAATGACTCTGGGCTTAATTTCCTCCATTGTGAATTTGGGACATGCTTCATGGGGTCAGACCCAATGATTCCTCTCACATGCTGAGTGTGTCGCCATGCTGCCATGCTGAGCTGCCTTCCCTCCCACATGTGGTGGTTGAGAGTAAAAACCAGAGCCAGCTGACCACTTACTCCCTTATCTCTCTGTGTCTCAGTTTCCTTACCCCACCCAGGGCTACTTTGAGGATTACACTTGTTGGTGTTTTGATTTATTTCACTGCTACTTGTGGGGGAGCTGCTGGAACTGGTCAACAAAGGAAGCAGGGGTGATCCCAGAATGTTGCAGAGAGCAGCAGCACCACCTGATAGCACTCTCCTGCAGGTGCTCCCTGGAGTGACTCTGCTTTTCAGTAATGTTAATTAAAGCTTGTTTTCAGATTATTTTTGAAGAATATACAAATTGTCCAAAATGGAACCAGTAGATATGTCACCCTCAGACCTCCCGTGAGTTCCATGTTGGTAGTATGTCTTTAACTTGGTTTATTTTTAAATAATGTCTTAGTCCTTTTGGGCTACTGTAACAGAAATACTACAGACTAGGTGGCTTAAACAACATTTGTTTCTCACAGTTCTGGAGACTGGAAGACCAAGATCAAGACACCAGCAGATTTGGTGTCTGGTGAGGGGCTGTCTCCTGGTTCGTAGACCACACCTTCTCACATGAGGGAAGGGGTGAACAAGCTTCCTTGGGCCTCTTGTAGACAAGTGCTCATCCCATTCATGAGGGCTCTTCCCCCATGACCTAATCACCTCCCAAAGACCTATCACCTAAAACCATCACCTTAGGGGCTAGGGTTTCTTTCTTTCTTTTTTAAAAAATATTGTGGGGGGGCTAGGATTTCAACATATGAATTTGAGGAAACACAAACATTCAGTCTATAGCAAGTAACAGTGAACTCTCCTCTTAACAACAACAGAAAGCCACAGTTAGGCAAAGGCAAACATGTTGGTAGTCAAAGCCACAGGAGTCACCAGGGATGTGAGATGTGTGAGAACCAAGCACCAAGTTCCCTGCTTTTTTGCTCATTTGTGTTCAGGTTTGCCTCAGGTGACCTTAAGCTGAGAGTACACAGGTATGTAGTGAGACCTACTTGTCTACTCGCTTGCCCGCCAGATACTGCCGTGGGTCTGGACTTACTTATGGAAACTATGATATCTTCAAAAGATGGATTTTGTGGGTCTCTTCTGAACCTCCCTTGAAGCGAGTTTTAGTGGTGCCATCTGTAAAATACAGTCACATTTGATCAGTCTTGCTTACCTGTGAGGAGAAAGGGTAAAGGCATTTCCCCCTAAGGAATCTGAAGCCCACGCCAAGACTTCATAGTAGTTTGGCAGCAGCTCTGTGTCCTGCCCATGCTGGAGCACCTCCTCAGGGAACAGAGTTCACACAGGCCTTGCTGGCCTGAATCTTAGGTTGAAACCATAGGGCTTAAAACTGCATTAATACATTGCCTGAATGCTTAGGTTCTGTTCTTTTAGATCACTTGTGCTCAAGACTTTGCTTTTGCCTTTGCCAGGCTTGTTGTCCACAGCACTCCTGCTAGACATTCGTCAGAGCCAGCTCCGCAGAGTCTGGTGAGCAGCTCATGGACCCCCCTGAGCACGAGACGTGTTTCAGCCTTGCCCACACCTGCCAGCCGGCGCCTCTCTAGCATTCCATTAATAACCCCTAAAACCATGCCCAGGGCTGTGGCTTCTCCCCTGTGTGTGCCTGCTCGGCAGCTCTCTTCTGAGCCCCGGAAAAAATCTACATCAAGGTAAGAGAGAAAAGTTGCACAATATGTTTCTCAAATTCATAAAATCCCAAGAATATTTTTGTGCTGGAAAGGCTATATAGTCACTTGTCAGGAAAAAACTGGGCTGATATTTGTCACCCCTTCTCAGCAATGGGGATGAGAGCTTGACCCCACCTCTCCTGTTGATGGCTCACTGAAAGGGAGAAGGCCTTGCCCTGGTTCCACCATTTGAGTAGATGAGGACCTTTCTGGAAAAAGCCCTGGAGGCACAGCTGCCCAAGGAGATACATTTGCCTCAGGAACTCTTGGATCATGTGCTGCCCATACCCTTTAGGGTCTTCATCAGGGATGACAACAACCACCCACTTCCTGCCTGGTCTCCCACCCTCTCTTATGGCACTAGAGCCACGTGCCTCCCGCAGTCTTGCCAGCAAGCCTAGCCTTGTTATTCGCTGCCTTAATCGTGCCTCCCCCTGGTCCTGGCAGAGCTGCCTCATGTTAATTGAAGTCATTGTCCAAGGGCCAACCTCAGGTCTTTCTGGAGAACCCTGTATAAAATAGCACCACCTCCCTACCCACTCCCTCTGTTCCTTTCCCCTACATTGCTTTTCCAGAGCAGCTCTCACTTTCTCACCACCTGAACATGGAGCATGTTTGTATTGGTCTCCTCAATGACTATCTGACTCTTCCCTTAGCAAGGAGCTCCCTGAATGCTGGGACCTTGTGTCAGTATCTTCTGTTATCACTTATCCCCAGACCTGAGAACCAGCCCCTAGCACAGTAGGTGCTCAAGAAATAAGAGAGCAATCTCCTGGTAGAATCTAGTGTTAGTTGCTGGCTTCCTTGATTTGAAGTTTTGTCTGTAAAGGACATTGGGCAAAGCACAGGTATCAGGCTTTCCATGCTCTTTTTGCATTGTGGTAGAGCTTTGGGGAAGGCTGGAGCATTGAGGGAACATGGAACCTTGAACTGACTCCTGTTCACTTCCAATTCCAGTCTGGTACTCCAGAGCCGGATGGGGGTTCAAAACAGGTCAGGCTCAAGACAGGTCAGGCCTTGGGCCCTGGGGATCCTATGACCAACATGAGCAGGTTCACCTTGCTGTAAGGTGGGTGAAGAAAGGTGTAGTAGCCCCTAAAGCTATGGCTTCCAGAAAGAGCAGCCCACAGATCTATGTATTCTGGTTGGGGATTGGAGGGTTATGACTGGGCTTTGTTTCCCCAGCCCCCAAGAGGCCACTAAGGACTTTAACAGGTAGGCAGTGTATTCTCCTGTACCCTTGAGAGTACAAGATAGCAGGGAATAGGGGAGAATTATCTATTTGCACTGCCCCATGTGGACCCACTAGTCACATGTGGCCACTTACATTTTAATTAATTAAAATTAAATAAAATTCAAAGGTCAGTTCCCCACTTGCACTCACCGCATTTCAGATGCTCAGTAGCCAAGTGACTTACAGCTGCCATATCGAACACTTCCATCATGGTGGAAAGATCTGTTGTACTGTTCTGGCTGCCTGACCCAGCAGGAAATGCTTCTGCCTCTAGGAGGTCGGCAGCATTCTGCTTCCCATCACCTGTGAGACAGCTACCACCTGGGGCTATCCAATGACAGACCTGAGGCCCAGTGAGTTCCTCATCCATCCCCCTTGTCCCCAGAGGGGCAGCTGGGAGAGGTCAGCAAAAATTGACAAGATCGCAGTGAAAAAATAGACATATGTATAGATAGAGGAAAAAATTAAGATCTTGTAAGAAAATACTGCCAGTAATTCTATGATAGTCAGTCTGAAAACCTCATGAAATGATTTCCTAAAATGTACAAGTTATTTGAATTGACCTAGGGAAACATGAATTAAGTCATATTTAGAGCTTAGAAGGTGATTAATGGTTGAAAAAGACATGGCTCAGATAAGGGCACAGGCGTGCTAAGTATAACCTTCAAAATAGATTATTCTAATTTCTAAAGTTAACTAACTCAGGCTATAGATAAAGATGTAAAGTTCTTCAGTTCATGTTAATAGCCAAACATGATAGGTATAATGATAATACCTAAAAAAGGAAACTATAGACTGATTTCATTTATGAATATAGATGTAATTTATTTTGCATTATCTTTTTAATGAAATTCCTCTTTCTAGGAAAGATATATTTCTATTTAGTATTTGTTTCTTTTTTTTACTTTTTTTTTTTTTGCTATTCCTTTTTTTTATTATTATAAAGATGCGGGGTACAATCAGGGTTAGGTATATAAATGTTGATTATGCAGGTACCCTTGTTGCTGAGGTATGCCCCTCCCTCCCCTAGCAATTTCCCTCAACTGCCAATCCCACCTCTCCCTATCCCCTGACAGTTTCCCACTACTGCCAATCACTTTCTTATAGTACTATAATTGTCCAAGTTCCGCTTATGAGTGAGAACATATGGTACTCTGTTCTTTTGTTTATTTTTTCTTTTCATGTGGATCTCAATTTGAATAAAGGATACATTTTTAAAAACACAAATAAATTGTTATCTATCTAGAAGAAAATTAAATCCAACCTAACTTACATCATGAGAAAATAAATTCCAGATGACTTAGAGATTTAAATACTGCAAACAAAAGAAGACAATAGTTCAAAGAAAAACTAGGAGACTGTGAGCTATCATAGGGCAGGAGACCTTGGTCACTGCTGACAGCCCAGGGGTAAAGAGAAGATGGCCATATTCACAGTATAGGAATGAAGGTCTTTTGCTTTTTCTGTGGCTAAAATGACCATAAATGAAGTCAATAGACAATTGGTTGGCTATAAAACAACATAACAGGCTTAGCGTCGGAATAAGCTCAGATAGTCAATAACATCTGAGAAGATACCAAATTCCCTGGTGTTAGGGAAATGTAAATTATGGTAACTAGGTGACTGCTCTTCATAGACACTAACTGGGGAGGTTGTGGGGCAGAGGGAGTCTGGAACATTGCCAGCAAAAATGCGCATTGTGATTGTGTGTTTTGGAAAGCCATTTGTCAACATATTCAAGTGTAATTACATGTATCTGACCCAGATCCTACCACAGGCGCCAAGACTGCAGTTCTCATGTGCCGAGATGTTCATGGTAACAAAGAATGGAAGTACATGACTAGGTGGCCATTACGGGCAGGAGTTGGCTTGTACCAGCTGACTTGGAAAGATTTCCTGAGGAATCCTTGAAAAAGGAGGCAGAAGGGAGTGTATAATAAATAAGATTCTACCTTTTTAAAGTGGAATCAGCTGCTATATGATCCCACTTGGACAAAAGAAACAGTAGCCAAGAAAAAAATCCTGTGTTAAAAATATATATACATATATAATATTTAGATATTCAGATATAAATTATACATGCTTATATATTTTATGCTCATATTTTTATATATCTACCAACAAATATGTATATGTTATATATATCATATCTATATATTGGCCATGTATGTATCTAGTTCTATGAGAATGGAGAAGACTCTGGGAGAAAAAAATGCTGGGATATATGTTACAAAGGGGAGAGGGAACGGCATGAAATTCCAGAGAAAGTAAGAAAAAAAGGCTTCACTAAAAACAGAAGACCCAGTATGTAAATAGTTAGGAATATGTGTTTAAGTTGAATGAATGTTTGTAACTGTAGAGAAAAAAAATTCTACTTTTTTTCAGATTGTCATGAAAGCTTTAAAATGTTAGAAAGAATATATTCTGTATTAATTCACAGACACTACTATTTTCCTTGGTTTCCTCAAGTAATTCAGTTTTGCATTGACAGGTATTCAAGGGCCTGCTGGGTGATAGGCAAACCCAGCTGGGCACTCATGTTGCTGTCCAGCAGGAAACATGTTAGAGCAGAGGGCCAGCACCAGGCAGTGTGTAATGGGTGCTTCAGCCCTGTCCAGGGCGCAGGACCATGTCTCCAGAAGAAGCAGCAGGGGAGAGGGTGTTAGGGACAGGAGGAGTCAGCCATGTGGTCCACCTAGGCCTGGGAGAAGCAGGACAGAGCCAGCTGTGCCTCCAGAGGAAGGGACTCCTGCATGTGGTCTTTGCTCCTTTTCGGGAGGTAATGGACAAGCTCTTTTCCTCCTACTTAAAAACTTTAAAGAAAAGGGATAAAATAGGCACATGGTGATACCAGACAGATACAGTACACTTTTGAGCCCTCCTTATATGTAGGAAACTGAAGGTCTGAAAGTCCTCATGGTTGGGTGGCTTTGCCAAAGAACTGGCACCAGAGCTAGGGTGCTGTCCACCATGGGGACACTTCTCCTTCAGAAGGGACCTGCTTCCCAAATCACAGCCAAATGAACGAGCATTTTAAGAAATTTCCTAAGATTTTTTTTTTCCTCCCACAGAACTGAACCAACAAGGGAAAGCAACAGAAAGATTGATTCCAGGCAGGCAGACTTGTCACCTGATGGAAGTTTTTCTCCTCCATCCAATGTGCCTCAGGCACTTAACTTTTCTCCAGAAAAAAATGACTTGACTTGTTCAAAAAGCACCACTGCAGAAGCAACTCTGGATGAAGCAAAGCCATGTGCAGACACACCCCCTAAGGAGGTATGCAGAAATAGACATAGTTTACTTAAATGGAGACTGCTCTGGAAGCTGCATAGGAACTCAATGGCTATGGCTGGCAGAGGAGAGACAGTCAGGACTTCTAGATGTCTAGAGGATATAAAAGCAACTCCTTTTCCCCTGTACTTGACAAAGGCAAGGGTCAGTCTTCCAGGGTCAGGAAGTGGGAAACAGGAGGCAGGGTAGCAGAAGCTGTGTTGGCTGAAGGTGGGCAGGGTATGGACAGGGAGATGGACAGCTGCCAGAGAGGAGAGGACTAGTCAGTCAAGCACACCAAAGACAGAGCCTTCTCCCACCAAGAGCCCAGCAACCCTTTTTCCTTGGGTTTCCAAACCGTTAGCCCATCTGGGGACATGAGCAAAGCATACGTTTTCCTAAGACGATTGACAAAAAGATCTGGACTCTCCTTTCAATCTTGTGTTCTTATCTAGGCTCTTCTCATAGATATCAAACTGGATCCACTTGCCGGCGCTCCAAAAACTGAAAGCAAACCCCTCACTGACCTTCTTCTCATCGACTTCTGCAGTACTCCAGAAGCCACTGTGGCTGTGAGATCTGAAAGCAGACCTCTGATCGACCTCATGATGAACACTCCAGACATGATTACAAATGTTGTGGCAAAACCTTTACCGGCGGTAGGACAGGTAAGAAGGGACAGGTAGTTCATGTTGATTCAGCCTCAGGTATTCTTAATTTTGGGTTTGTTCCCTATCTCTGGGGACATCAAGCTTCTCACATCAAACTTTTCACATCAAGCTTCAGTGGCCCTTAAGAGTGGCCATTGAAGCTTCTCAGGGCTACATGTCACAGTACATGCCTCACCTGTGGTGGTCTGAGCTTCTGGAGATGCCAGCTGCCTCTGAGGCGTCCTGCTGGGACCCCATGAGCAGGAGTCATGTCTATCCTGCTCCACAGCCTGAAGGGCTGCATGTGCAGTGAGGGAGCATTCATGTTGGAGGGACTGGGTTCTTCAGGTTGTCTTTGTCTCCTTTCAATTTCTTAGACATTATGGTCAAATTTCCTTTTTTTTTCTTATTTTTTTAAATTTTTTGAGTCTGGGTCTCACTTTGTCACCCAGGCTGGAGTATAGTGGCACGATCACGGCTCACCGCAGCCTCAAACTCCTGGGCTCGGGCGATCCTTCCAAGTAGCTGAGACTACAGGCTCATGTCACCACACCCAGCTAATTTGATTTTCTTATAGAGACAGGATCTTCCTATGTTGCCTAGGCTGGTCTCAAACTCCTGAGTTCAAGCAATCCTTCTACTTCAGTCACCCAAAGTGCTTGGATTATGGGTGTGAACCACTGCACCCAACTGAGTTTTGCTTTTTGTTTGTTTGCTTGTTTTGAGTCAGAGTCTCACTCTGTTGCTCAGGCTGGAGTGCAGTGGCATGCTCACAGCCACCGCAGCCTCGACTTGCTGGATTCAGGCAATTCTTCCACCTCAGCCTTCCAAGTAGCTGGAGCCACAGGCATGCATCACCACACCTGGCTAATTTTTTGATTTACTGTAGAGATGAGGTCTCGCCAAGTTGCCCAGGCTGGTCTCGAACCCCTAGGCTCGAGTAATGCTCTCATCTCCACCTTCTGAAGTGCTGGGATTACAGGCGTGAGCCACCATGCCAGGCTTGAGTTTTGTTTTAAATGTAAGTGAACCAGAGTGAACAAGTTGTTTTTATGGCACCAAGTCACAAGTGGCAATGACTCCCAGGCAGTCAGTATTCAGTGTTGGGGAGGTGTGATAGGAGGGGCCATCTGGCTGAGTCTACACTCCTCGGCTCTTCTCTCTTCCAGCTCATAGACCTGGGCTCCCCTCTGATCCTGCTGAGCCCTGAGGCTGACAAGGAAAACGTGGACTCACCACTCCTCAAGTTCTGAGCAGAATAAAAGCCTTTGCCTTTTACTCTCTGTTAAAAGAGCAATCCTAAAGTGGTTTTCAACCCTTAGAAACACACTTTAGTAGAAATTTTATTTGAAAAAGCGAAAAGCCTACATATATTTTCTGTGCTGGAGGGAGTGGGCTGAGGGATTGGGGGTCAGAGCTGATGGCCTGGGGTCTCCACTGCCAGCAGCCGCCCTCTTCCCTGCCTCTCACTGGCTGGAATGCAAAGGCGAAGTCGCTCTAAGTTAAGAATTTTGTTTTGAATCTTTTGTATGTAAAATAGCAAATAGCTGTTTTTAAAGTTAAATTTGTATGAAAAGTTAAATATTCTAGATTTATGTTAAATTGTAAAATAAAATGTCTTAAAGCATATCTTGATTTTCAAACATGCGCAGCTGTTTTTATCACTCTAATCAGTATGGAAAACTACTATCCAGACTTTAATGCTTTTAGAAAGTGATTTTCAAAAATTAGTCTGAATAAAAATTGGTGTAAATATAGACCTCAGGCCTACCCCTCAGATATACTAGTCCCTAGGTCTGGGGCAGGCTTAGGAAGCTACATTGTTAACAGGCACTTAGGTGATTCTGACTCAATGGCCTGAGGATCAAACCTCTAGAAGAAGCTGCCCTGAGGACATGGAGGTGAGTGGAAAGAGAATGGGTGATTAGGACAGGCTTATATGAATAAAGAGGTGATGGATTGTGTCTGCTGGTCAGGACCTAGCAGCTGTCTGTGCTGGGACTGGCCCCTCAGCCTTGCCCTCAGCAGGGCCACTGCTGGGTGAAGCCACCCAATGGGGCACAATGGGAAGTAGTGGGAACTGAGGGCCCCTGGAAAACCCATTCCCGCATGAAGATTCTAATGTTTTTCAAAATTAGCTAACCTGGAAGCCACTAATTTGTTTATCTCCTTATTTTCCCATTCCTCACAGTTTCTCGCAATCTTAGTGACTTCACAGTAGCCAGTAAAAAAGTGACTTGCTGGACTTTGTATTTTGGATCCCACTGTAGTGCTCCCTGCATCATACCAGGATCTTCCTCTGTTCTCAAAGAGTTGAGGGGAAAAAGAGATGGTTGGGCTGCACTTTGAACATTCTGCGGTTAATGTAATAGATATAAAATTGTCATTTCAACCAGTGACTCCTGTGGCATTGAGAGTGCACAAGTTCCAGTTGCAACCAGCCCACAAAGTGGCTGAGACACGATCCACTTGCACATATTTTCTGCTCTTTTCCAGTTGACTCTATGGTATTTCAGCTACTTTGTAGCTCCGGGAGCCCATAGTATATAAAACCAGGGCCATGAGGGCCAGCTACGGCCAGGACAACGACATCCCAAGTGCTACCTGCCAGCAGTAATGTCAGATGTGGATTTCAGAGATGTAAAATGGGAAGGCATTTGTCCCACAACATTAATGAAATGTACAAAATTCACATGATGTCGGAACTCTTAAATCCAGGAGGGTGGCCCTCTAGTGGCAGCCAAGATACTTCTGTTCAAAAGAGAAAGGAGGCAACCCTCCCCAGCTCCAGAAGCACTTTAGCCTCCAACTGACCGTGGCTTCTCTTGCAGAACCTTTTGAGTGGTGACTGGAGGCCTGGGTGCCAAGAGGGAAAGCACCTTGGAGAAGCGCTGTCAGACTGGGCAACTTCAGTATGGATAGCCAGATGGAGAGACCCAGACAGAAAGGAAGGGAACAGAAACTTCAGGATAGGAGCTGCTCTAGCCAACACCTGCACCATAACCTTATCTCAGACTGTCCCACTCAAAGACTACAGATTAAAATACACTGATGTCAGCACAGCTGCAGCCTAAACATTTACCCCTAAACCTGTCTAAGATCAAGTGTCCAGATACTGGGTTTCCTTATCTCTTCTGGGAAATGGAAGATGAAATGGCTACCCTGCTGGATATTTTCCTGATCCTTTATTCTTCTGAAAAAGCAGCCATGCTTTTATTTTCCCATAGGGCCCTGTGACGTCTTCCGCCTGTCTTGCACTCAACCTATCCCTCCTGACAGTTCCTGCTTTTCTTTTTGGAAATGGGGACTCAAGAACCTTCCTCATTTTACTCTAGACTCTTAAAACTATTTCTGTTCTCAAGAAAATGATTTGCTTTAGTAATTATCCACAGGTATACATTTATGTCCATTGTTAACCTTTCAAGAAACCATTAAGAAACTAATGTGATTTTAATGCCAAGCTTTTTGGCCTGATTTTATTTTTATTTTATTTTCTTGAGTTGTACTCCACCCAGGCTGGAGTACAGCAGCATAGTTGGCTCACTGCAGCCTCCACCTCCTGGACTCAGACAATCCTTCCACCTCAGCCTCCCAAGTAGCTGGAACTATAGGCATGTGCCACCAAGCCCATATAACTATTTTTATTTCTTTTGTAGAGATGAGTCTCACTATGTTGCCTAGGCTGGTCTTGAACTCTTGGGATCAAACAATCCTCTCACCTTGATCTCCTAAAGTGCTGGGATTACAGGCGTGAGCTACCACACTCGATATTGGCCAGATATTAAAACCATTTGATTTGTAGTGGCACTTCCTTGTCTCCAGTTTTCAAGCTGTGGTTCAATCTTTCATGAAATCAACTGGCACATTCCAAGGGCAAGAACTATTTTGAGAAGTGTTCTTTATGCCTAAAGGTGTCTACATAGACAGCCATTGCATTCTGTTAGAGTGGGTTGAAGATGAAAAAGTCAGTTGCTGATTTAAAGAATGTTTGTGTTTTGTACATGCATACTGTAGCTTTTGGTGTCAAACCACATCTCTGTCTTCTGTGTCACTGTTGGTCTCAGCTGGCTGTGTCATCCCTGGCCTGGGCCCTCTGCTCTGTCTTCCTGCTTTTCCAGCCTCTCGCAGTCAGCCATGAGGCCTCCAGCTGGCTCTTCCCTATCTAGGTCTCCTATCTGGGCCTCTTCCTTTGCTTTCCTTTACACCGTCCTGCCTTCCCATGCTGCTTTTAGGCCCAGCAAATGTTTTCAGGTTCTTCCAGTATCTATCCATGAGCCCTTCACCTGCTGTTTCTCTTATCTAAAAACCTCCCCTTTGTCATCTGCCAGGCTTCCTCCAACATGCCTCCACTCATGTCCTCATGCAGGGACAGCCATGTCTCCAGTCTGATGTTCCAAACATTGGCACCTCATATGTTAGGGTTAATCCGGCGGGCCACCGCTCCTCTTCCGGGAATGTCCCCCAAGGAAGAAACATCAAGTCCCCATGTCCATCCCCCTTCCGCAAGGGCTTATGAATTCTACCTCTAAGTATATGCTATCAATCTGACCCCATCTCTCTCCTAAATGGCTGTCACGGCCTCTAAATCAGATTCCCAGCATCTCCTCCAATATGTGTTCCATAGGGCAGCCAGAAAAATCCTTTTAAAGGTTTAAGATCGATCACTCCCCTGCTTAATACCGCCAATGGCTGCCAGTTGCTCCTGCATTGGCCCTATCCTTTTAGGGGTCCAGGCCTTTGTAGAAATCTGATCCCTCTCCCTGCTTTTCTTTCCTTCCACATTTGGTTGATGTAAATGCGGTCTGAATCAAAATGGAATCACTTGTGTTTAAACAACAACAAAAAACCCTGATGAACAGAACCTGGGATGGCCATGGAGGGAGGGTTTTCATGTATAAATGTCTGATAACAACAACTGTCACAAAACACCGCGAGAACTTTAACCTTGCACAAAGGCTATCACACACACAAAAAACCTGTGCAAGGACATTTGCCCAGCAACTGCCTCTACTGGTGTTATCCTTATTACTGATCCCTGTAGTCAAGGATAATTATTTCACAATTATGTAATTCTCTGTATTTTTCCTTTAAAAACCTTGGTCTTGCTCGGTGGCTCAGCCTGTAGTCCCGCGCTTTGGGAGGCCGAAGTGAGTGAATTGCCTGAGCACACAAGTTCGAGACCCGCCTGGGCAACTTGGCGAGCCCTCATCTCTACAATAAATCAAAAAATCAGCCGGGCATGGTAGCGCATGCCTGTAATTCCGGCTACTTGGAAGGCTGAGGTGGAAGGATCGCCAGAGCCCAGCAGGTCGAGGCTGCAGTGGCCGGGAGCAACCACTGCACTCCAGTCTGGGTGACAGTGAGACTCCAACTCAAAAAAACCCCCCAAACTTTGTCTTCCTTTATAAACCTTTAAGCATGTGCACATAGTTCACTATGGCATGCTTTTTTCCACTGCAATGCCTATTCCCCAGTAAACATCATTTTTCTCTTAAGAGTCTCCCTGTTATTTAGTTTCACAATGTCTACTCTCTCTGAGAAGAACACAGCTGGAATATCAGCCCTAGGAATGATCTCCATTCTTTCCTCCTTCCTTCATCAACGTGTTTATGGAGTGCCTGCTCTGGGTCAGATGCCTCTGGTGCTGGAACCAAAAGCAAAGAACAGAACACGAAATTAGGTCCTATACAGACATATAAATTGTGAGGTATTGTCTGGACATACTCTGTTTCCTCTCAGGACGTGACCTCGGTTGCAGGTGACCAAGCAAAGGTGAAAACAATGTAATTGTTTTTAATCAATGTAATTGTAAACACTGGATAGGCAACTGAATAATTAACTTGTTTAGTTATGAAACTGCTTGCTATAGTGCTCCCCCGTGCGAATTTTTTTTTATTTTTTGAGTCAGAGCCTCACTCTGTCGCCCAGGCTGGGGTGCTGTGGCAGCTCACGGACACCCCAGTGTCCACTCGATGGGCGCAGGCGATCCTTCCGCCTCAGTCTTCCCCAAGCAGCCGGAACTACAGGCGCGCGCTACCATGCCCGGCTAATTTTTCGATATATCGTAGAGACGAGGTCTCACGAAGTTGTCCAGGCTGGTCTCGAGCCCCTGGGCTCCCAAAGTGTTGGGATTACAGGGTTGAGCCACCGCGCCCGCCCCCGCCCCCGGTGCGAATTCTTTACTGATCTGCCGCCATCCGTGCCTCCCTTAGGATAAACCAAGGTATTTCCTTGCTGGACCTCGGGGGAACTTCTTTGGAATAGGTAAACCTCACATGTAAATCCTCTGAGATTGGGGGTTAGCGCGTTAAATAAGTGAATACTGAGCATGCTAGGAAATGCTCAATGCAAAAGGAAGAGAGTAAGGCAGGCAAAGCGGCGGGCAGTAGGTGGAGGTGGGGAAATGACACGGTAGGGTGGCTAGGAAAGACCTCAAGGAGCTGGCATCATCCAGAAAAGCCGCCCCTGGTAGCCCAGCAGGGTATCGGCGCCCCCATGGGTTGGAGGATTCACAGTAGCACGGAGCACAACGCCGGCCAGGCTTGCCCTCGGCTCCTATCTCCCAGGCGGCACTCGAACTCCCGGAAGACTCCTGCAGAGGTTGGGCCGAGCGGAACGCCGGCCAGCGGAGCACGCTTCTGGCCGAGCCGAGAGCGCGGACGCCGCGCTGGGGCAGGACTTCCGGCGCGGCGCGGAAGTGGCGGTGGCGGCGGC